GGATAAAATTTGCAATCCTCCGAGCTATCACAACTTTTTGGACACCAAGCAAACTGAGAGCCAAGCACCCGTTTACAAAGGAATAAGGAAGCATTCAAGCTTTTTGTTGCTTCAAAATGCAGATATGGAAACATTTGGGTTACATTTTCAAGCGGGACATTCAAAGTTATCCCTTTTGTTTCATAATTGTAGCGAAATTTCCAATTTAAATCGGTGTTAAAAGCAGCGCTTGATTTAAAATATGATTCAATTTCTAACGTTTCAGTGTTGTTGAGACATCTAAAGGTTTTTTCGAAATTTGGAGCCGTATGTAATTTATAATGGTAGCAGAATTGGTGTGGAAATAGGAGGGAAAAATATGGGGAATATTGATCTTTATTGCGACCAGAAATGTATTCTCTGTCATTTGGAAATGGCCGTGGTTTTCCTTCCGAAAGGCTAACGACAAAGTAAAATTTGTCCGCAGTGTAGTAAGAGTGCCAAACGTAAAATCTATGGTAGTATTCTATCCAGTGATTTACTATGGTAAGATTATTATTTGGAAGCAGGACAACAATCTCGCAGAGGAAACCTTTATTTTTAAGTATGTTTAGCGTTATTCTTCTCGTATTTGAGGAGGTGATCCAAAGTTCCAAATTTCTATCCCATTTTGAAAGTGTGACGGGAATTTTACCAGTTGAGGGAAAATTTTCTGATGAGAGATTTATATATCGGATATGTGGCCAGCATCTTTCGTCCGATAGATTTAGGAGAAAAGGGAATGGTTGAAAATACGCGTAAATTTCAAAAACGTGAAGAAATAGGATGGTAAAATATTTCATGTTGATATGCAGGTAATAAAGAACAGAATTTATAACTTGTTGAACAGGATTACTAGTATTTTAGGAAAGTGTCCTAAAATGTCCTTTCAAATGCGAAATGCGACGTGAAATTTATTGGAGTTGGCTATGGAAAAAATCCAATTTCCTCCACAGGGAAAAGAGTTGAATTACACTTGAAATAATTGGAACATACATGTAGACATACATATGTGGAGGAATGTAATGACAATTTTAATTAGTTCGGTCTTCATAATTTATTTCCTATTTCTTAAGAAAGCTTCAATAAGTATTTGTGGATATGTAAGCTATCTAATTTAGGATACCTCGAACCCTTAGCCGTTTAATATTAAAGAGTTTCTTCCTCACCTTTAAAAAGTACAATATCTGTTAATCTCCTAAACTAATCTCATACATGTAGAATGATTGCTTGACATTATTGTTTGGTACGGTTAAAAGTACCAAAGTGTCATCCCGCTGGTAGAGTCATGTGGGTGGACAGTAACACGTTATGCGGTAAAACCGCGGAAAATAAACTAATAGGGGTGGTCTATCCGATCCGAGATTATACGAGTTTTTTTAATATTTGGTCAAATGTCTACCTTTTTTGCCTCAACCATTCTACTCCCTATTCACCTTAAATTTCTTTGTTTTTTCTTACGTTTTTTTAAGTTTTTTTTTCTTGAGTTTTTTCTTAAGTTTTTTCTTAAGTTTTTTCTTGGTGCCACCTAGCGGCCCGCCAATGTCAACAATGGTAAAAATTACAAACAAGGAAAAAGCTGCTTTTTACAGCAAAATGGCAAAAAGCATAGTACTGTGCTTTTTTGCTTGGGAGTACACTCATCTCATCTCAAAATAAATGAGACGAGGTAAGATGAGATATAAAGTTGAGAATCATTTAGGTTTCATCTCATCTCACCAGGTAGTATGGGATAACATGAGATGAGGCCTCCCCCGTCTCATAGGCAACCCTAGTTTAGAATTATTACAATGATATGCATAAAAATTCCACAGGCATCTCTCAAGTGGCCGTTTACTTCCCCACAATTCGGGTAATTAACCATTGTATCACACTTGAAAACGGAGTAATGAGCATGGATCGAGCATTCCTGGCGGGAATGTCTGCCAGCGTGGTAGTTTGGACGGCAATTCTTCCAATAGATGGAGTCAAAACTATTTTACAAACAGGTAGAAAAATTGTTAAAATTTCCAATCTAGCTTCTACAATAAATAGGGGATCCAAAATCGCTTTTTCTGATTTAAAAAGCCGGTTTTAACCGGTTTTCGATTGACTCGAAAAGTGGTTTTACTATTTAATACATAGAAGACTGGCTTTGAGAGAAACCGGTTGTAAAATTTTCACAGAAACCGATTTTGTTACAATCGAAAACCAGTGTTAGATTTTACTGTCTATGGACCACGATTTATCATTTTTTGCCTTCAACGTAAAAATTAATAATTCTGAAATATATTTCCCCTAACCAAAAATAACGCGTTTTACTATTTCGTTTCAAATTTTGTTCTTATATATTTTAAAAATATATCAAAAACCGATCAAAAACCGGTATTTGGGGAAAATCGAGTTTTTCGAAGACTTGAAATAATTGAAATCCGGAATAATTGAAATTCTGTTTTGCGAAGGTTTCCGGTTTTGGATGCCCTCATAATTAACACCTTTAATTAATATATAAACAAACAAATCTAGCTCCTGCTGAAGGCTCTCACCCCAAAACTTACAGATCCATAGTTACCGCAATATATGTATAAGAATGTTGGAATTCCCGGATTTTTTCGTGGAGTTATGCCAGTCGCATTGAGAACAATGATTGCAATTTCTTCAGTATTTGGAGGACTTAACGTAGTCATGCACGCGCTGAACGTTGATGAACTAACTTTTGAAACTAACGCATAAATTTGTTAAATATAAACGTATTTATCGAATATATATTTTACTCAATTTATTTACATATATTGAAATTCTGGGATTCAATTATTGCACTATAAATTGACGAATGTTGATCACATAACAAATATTTAGTATAATGATTATTAATTTTATTATATTATAAATAACATACCTACAGTCAATCCAACAAGTATTGGATACGCAAGCATAGTGTCCGGGACTGAAGCTCTAACCTTACCATGCGTTGATCGATGTTCATGAAAATTTGAAGAAATAGACGGACTCTCAATGGTATACATTGACTGTAACTCTATTTTTTAATTAAAAAATAAGTACCCGAAATGGATTCACATCCCGGCAAAAAAAAATCGGAAAAATAATTTTTAGTCAAATAGCCCCGCCCCCTCGCCCCCAGACGCCCCCAAAGGACCCCTGCGCTGGATCAGCTTTTTCTCGGCCCCCAAAAGAGATAACTTGACCAAACTTGGCATGGGCCTCTCATATGAGGTCGTTCTTACTGACATGAGGTATAAACCCCCCTAGGTCAAAATTTATAATGCCTTTGACCTGAAAATTTTGACCTTTTTTTTCGTTTTTTCTATCTAGTTTTCGTGTTTATGAAATGTCACTTCAAAACCTTACAGAAACCATATATTCTGCGTCCAATTCCGTTGGTTTGAACCTCCTAGCTCAAAAACTAAGGGTACTTTGTAGGAAGACCGACTTTGGTCGAAATTCCGACAAAACACCCTTAATGCTAATTTTCTTAATGGCCGCCTGGTCGATTTGCTTCAAATTTTGGTATGTTGTTGTCCTATACTAAGTGAACATAGTTAAATTACCGACAGGTCGAAATCGACCAAAAGTCGAAATCGGAGAAAAAGTCTCACATAACCCCACATATGGGGTATCGTTGGAAAGGTCTTGATGAGAGGATTCATAACATATATACTTTGTGGGGTCTCAAACCACCCCCCGATGGTCCAGAGGCAGAAGAATATTTTCGAGTTTTTCCCGATCTAGTCGCATGCTAACCCCCAATCTACTGCTGTGTTAAATTCTGGAGAATCGAAATTTCTCGTTCTTCTGCCTAGGTGCCTTGTTTAGTGATGGGAGGTTTTTGGCATCATTTTTTCTTGTTATAAAATTAAGTTTATGAGTGCATAAAATTCATAAAACCAAAAATTCATAAAAACCAAAAATTCATAAAATTCATAAAACTAAAGAGGTGTGGTCCAATAACAATCCGGAATTGTATGTTTTGGGGAGCATATGGGCCATGCTTAAGCAGGATATGTATAAAGATCCAAAACCATAGACAACAAGGTTGCTAACATTGAAGGTTCAAGAAAAGTGAAATTCAGAGACAAAAACCACTTTGAAAAAATTAGCACAGAAATTCAAAGAGAGGGTTGAGGACATGGTTAGTGTGGATGGTGGAAAGACTAAATACTAAGGTATATTTTTTGGCTCACAGTTTCAAGAAGCAAGGTTGCATTTTTTGCCATGACAAAATGGGGAGAAACTTTCCCACAACCCTTTATAGTTATTGCACAAAATTAACTTTTGGCAAAAACAGTCAAACCTAGGGAAAATTCGGGTCTTGTTGTAAATAAAACATGAAAAACCGAACACCAGATTTTACGGTAGGGACCGGTTTTGAATCTCTTAATTCTACTGTAACGATGACTATAGATATTCTACACTATTTGGGGAAAGACCGGACGTAAAATGCGCTCCAGGCCGTTCATATTCTAGGAACGCTACTGTATGTATGCATGATTCACCTAGCGTGCTATTAATTAGTTACTGATACACCTTTTAGCACGCTAGTACCAAAATGTTTTATCCCACAATTTCAATTCCTAAATATTCAACAAATACACATATTTACTTCAAAGGCAGTAACAATTTATTACTAAAGGGTGAGATTAACACGTACACCTCTACAACATGATAATTAAAAAAAAACAATATTTGTCGCACTAAGTAAAGTGAAGTTGCTGTCATGTACACATATTTAGTTCTCTCCCCGTCATCTATACACTCTTAGCAAAACGGTGAGCCCACATGACTTAACCAAATTGTGCTAATCTTTTACCCCACATTGCGATAAATCTTACCCACCATGTGTAAACTTAAAACTAGATAGTAAGGATTTAACACATTGTGGGGAAAATATAACACAATGTGGGATGAAATATTAGCACAATTTGGTTAAGTCATGTGGGCTCCCCGCTTTGCTAAGAGTGTATTAGCATTTTCTAACCACGTGGTTCCGAGACTTTACCTACTCCGCCACCACTCGATAAGGTCCAATCAGGTCCAATCGAAACATTACCCTGAGGCCGTCATGATTTTTCGGTGGTTTGTCAGCATCTCCAAAATCTTCGGCCCAGCTGGTATTGGTCGTTGCATAGCTTAATACCCACTCATTTTGGACGCCACGGAGACTCAGGGTTTTTTCTACAATTCCCTGACCCCTAAACTGTATCGGACACTCGCGCTCCCATTCCAGGACGACCTCATTGTTGAAATGTGCCGTCTCCATAATGTCCAGCTGGTAATATCGTGTATCTCCGACTTGTCTGCAAAGGCTGGGACAAAGCACAACGGTTTGGTACTCCTTACGATATACCTGCATCGGTTAAATATAAAACTGGTTAGATTTGCAAAATAGTAGATAATTTTGCGACTAATATCATGGAAAGTTTCAAAGTTTGAAAAATATCTACTATTTTGCAAATCTAACCAGTTTGAAATTCAAACACATGAAATCTAAATATTGACGACGCGAAAAACTTAAACCCAGTGTTTCCGGTGCAAGTAACCACCTGCAAGAAATAACTGCAAGAAACTGGTTTCTTGCAGTTATTTTGACCCGCAAGTTGCAGGAAACTTCTTCCCGCCGCTATATGCCGGGTTGCCAGATGGCGCCTTATTTCTTGCACTTTCTTCCGCCTACATTTCTTTCAGTTTCTTGCTTTGCAGTGCAAGAAAAGAAGCACACTCGCAAGAAACGAAACACAACTTATATCTTTATCTTTAAATTCATTTAGGCAATAGAAATGCACTAACATCGAAAAAAATAAAGAGACGATGACTGATTTAGAGAAGAAGAAAATATTATTTAAATCCTACCTTGCCCTCCGCTGTCAAATATGAGACAGCATCACTGCATTGGCCGACAGGATGCGTGCGAAGGTTGGGCTGCCACGTGTCCTTCACGTCAATTAATTTCGGCGTTAATTGTTCGTCCCATGACGACGTTTTCGTACAGGTTGAGGGTGTACAAAAAAAATCGGCACATCTCTCCAGATCGCAATGATAACGAAAAAACGGGACATCCTGCCATCCTTGGGTGAGAATAAAATTTACTGATAATCTGAAATCCTTTTTCTGCGTGGTCAGGAATTCAGCTGTTGCGCCCTTCAATCCCAACGATATCTGAGTTCCTGAGCGAGAGAGAGTTGGGCGCGAAGAGAAATTGGGTGAACTAGGAGACATCCACTTTTTCAGGAATGAGGCGATTTTTACCAAAGAAACGATCACATGGATTGCAATCGCTACAGTTAAGACGTTGGTTAGCCGTTTTAACGTATTCTCGTCCAAGGTGGGCTCTGCAGACATTTTGAGGCTGTCAGAAACGTTTAAGAGACAAAAGATATGCACATTTACGTCAAGTACGCAGTCAAATGGAGGAGTGTTGGAAGTGGACTGACCCTTGGATATAAAATCCATTGGTATTTATTTGTAGGATTTATTTATGTATCGAGTATGAGGCAGGGTTTCGATTGGTAAAAACCAAATGGACCAGGGCAATGGGATAAAGGCAATTTTTTACCACCCACACTCTCAAAAATGTACCATACTTCTCGAAAAGTAAAAAAGATTGTAACCCTGAACTGAGCATACGAAGGTATTTTAAAAGTAAATCCAGTTGCTCTAATATTAGTAAGCGATCCTTTTAACTCTGAAAGAACCATACTTGAGAATAACTTAAAAATGAGTCCACGACTACTCCAATTAAAGTTAATCGAACTTCATTCCGAGTAAGCCTGCCGCAATTCGCCCGCCCTTCTTGATTTCTACCTTGGAGTTTGTTAGTCTATTCCAGACTTACATACACATTTCCCTCGTGAATTCCGAAATTTAAATTCCCATTTCAAAAGTTTCAAAAATGTGTGATACGGAAATCCAAAGATTATTAATTCCACTTAATCTTGGAAAATACTGTTAATTGTTTAAAGGTAAGATCTATTTTAGATTCATTCCATTCTCTATTTTTACAAAATAAACCCAAACTTTTGCACATTTTTTAACATAGATAATAATCTAACCGGATTCTTTACAACACCTTCAAAAAGATGACCTCATCCACGTCGTCCCACCTTTTCAACCTAATCTTCCACCCATTGCCAAGGACAAATTGATTGGACAAATTATGCAGAATATTTAACTCTGTTTCTCAGGTTGTTTAGTGTTAATATCTCATTTTTTGCCATGCTGTAATATTATTTTTAACCTACATACATATGACAGTAATTGGATTGTAAAATTTAATAGTTGTGAAATAATAAATAATCAATTACATAAATATATATTTGCCATTTTTAACTGAACTTTTAAATTAGTAAGGCGAGCCCCGGACAGAGTAAGTTATATACTCCAAACCGTGTTCACGTTTACTTAGAATCGTACAAAATTGCATCATATAGGGTAACATCTTACTATGTGTCGTTCAAGCCCTTTGCATAATTTGGAGCATGCTACAACTCTGAGCGGAGTAAGTACGCTTACTCCAGACTAGTTGCTACACGCATTACTCCGGGCAGCGTCGAAGCACTTTGACTACGTATTAGAGTGACATTTTACTTCATTCGAAGTGAAAATTTTTAAGAGTGCACCAAAATGGGTTGGAAATGGGGAAAATGGATGAAATTGGAAAAACTGGAAATTGAAAAAGAATTGGAAAAGCATTATCAAAATCCCGGTTCATATTCATATTCTCGATCAAATTCTAAGAAATCAAGTGGGTTATACGGCTAAAATCGAGCAATTTTAAGATTAACATATGGATAAATAGCAAAAATAATAAAAACTGGTCAAAACTGTGCAAAAGTGGCTGTATTGCATATTAAATTTTCAGAATTTCATGGAGATGCTGAATATGAAGTGGAATTCCGAAAATATTGATTACTCAAGAAGTTGGATTAACTATATGGGCAGCTATATTTTCCCTTTTGGTACGGTTACAACCATTTTTCCCGAATTTTCTCACTTTTTCCCACCTGCCGTAGCGTAACCCTGATTTAGACACCTTCTGAGATAGGGTTTAGTATGTGAGAAGTAAGGTTATTTTTGACTAGGGAAAAAATTGGGAAAGGGCAGTTTCTCTTTGTGCTTATGATTTTTGAAGTTTGTGGAGTCCAAATGGACAGAGGAAAGGTTTACTTAAATACGTCCAATTATACTTTTGGGTAGGAATTGGTCTACGCATCATTTTATCATGAGTACCCATCATCAGGGTTTTAATCAAAAATAATAAAACCCGTGGGTTTTAATGGGTTTTACCATCTTAAGTGGGTTTTATTTGGCTTTTGATGGGTTTTAATGGGTTTTAATGGGTTTTATAGGGTTTTATTAGGTTTATAGTAATAACATAACAAAAATAATTCGCAATTATTGCAAATTCAATCCCAATCATATACTAATTCCCTTTGTCCATATTGGAATTTGTATCGATTCTGAAATTATATTTTTTATAACACTCGAAATCTGGGATGCCAAAGTATGAAGTCAATTGTTGATTTGTTCTGGATTTTCATGTGTTATAATAGTGAAGAAATAACTTGCTTAGGTGAATTGAGATAACGTCTTCTAATGTGCAGGAGACATATTTAACTTTTAGAATGTAATTTTAAGGTAAAACTCAATTAAAACTGAATAAAACTGAATAAAACCCATTAAAACCCAAATAAAACCGACCCAACATGGTTAAATCCGTAGGGATTTATTCATTTACAACCCATTAAAACCCAATAAAACCCAATGAAACCCAACCCATTAAAACCCAGGTTGGAACACCCTGCCCATCATTGCTGGAAATGAGTCTTCCTTTCTGCTGAGACATGAACGAGTAATTCTGTTGGGTCTCAAGTACTTGGCACGAAAATTATTATTCCAAAGTCTGGAATCCAAACAATAGTGTTGCAAGAGAGCCAGGTACTAAATATAGTTGGGCTTTGGAGGGCATGCATTATTTACCTGAAGGGTCACTCTTACCCTTTACTCAGGAAGCCATTGCATTCATTAATATATTTTTAGCCTAATCCATGACTTATAATGTATGTACATAACAGTGCTTTCCGTCCATCATCCAATTTCATCTACAATTTGGTAAGTAACAGGTCATTGATCTTACAACGGAGGTCTGCCCACGAATGCACACATATTTGGACTAAAGTAAGGTTAATCAATCACAAATAAACCGTTGTAACGGTGGAAGTAGCTCACCCTGTGAGAATTATTTTGACATAATTGTCCACCAATGGTGCAGAGTAGACGAATAAAATTGATATGCAATTTTGGTATAAGTTTGCATTAATGGTGCAGAACAAGCGGAAAAAATATATACATAATTGTGACATAATTTTGCGCCGATGGTGGAAAATAAATGAAGGAAAACAAACAGTAATTTTGACATGAAATATTGGCAAATTCGTAGTAAAAATTATAGTCATTTCTTTCGGTTCTTCTGCACTTTTTGTGCGTTTTTCACCTATTCCATCAATTGTTTGGCACCATTTTGAGTCGACGCTTGTTCGATACCAGTGGTGCCATTAAGTCTGTCACGAACGTGAATAAGTCGCAGTAATTAGCATCAATTGATGCAAAAGAGTCGTTAACAGACAGACAGACGGACAGGACGGACAGACAGACGGACGGACAAGAGGAATTCAATAGCTCCTCTGCTACGCAGGGTGAGCTAATAACGGTACTATAAAATTTGCCAATGGAACTATCTGCCAATGTGCAGGTACACACACACACACACACATATATATATATATATATATATATACATACTGGCACTGTACTACTGGCACTTCGGTCCATGATTTAGTAAAGTAGTTTTGCATCGTTTTCGAAATGATTTTTTTATCATTTATTCACCATGCATCTGTCCGCATATCTGCAAAATTTCAGACTAATTGGACTAATTTTAAGTAGTGCATGTAAAATTGAATTTAAAAAAATGAAAATTTGACGCAACAAAATTAATCATAGGGTTTAATTTGCTGCAAACTTTCATTCAATATTTATCCTACGTGAAAAATTGCAACCTTCTCGTTAACACTGATTCAAGTGCAGATATTTCTGCAGTTATTTCTGCATTTTCAAATACAAAATTTAAAAGATGGCTAAATGCTGTGAAATCTGCGTCGAGAAGAGAAAGCGAGTTGCTACTCTTCAGAAGGAGGGCGTTGGTGACATCAAAATAGAAAAAAGTTGAAATCGCATGGTCAACAACACAATCAATCATCAAAAAGTGCAAATCTACCGGAAACGTGCAGAAACGGCGCGGACAAGGTCAATAACCTAAGGCAACTCCTAGGCAGGACGCTGCGATTATGTGGAAAGTACGAGTAAACCCCCGGCTGTCAGCACCAAAAATTGCATCTCATATCCGAAAAGAGTCCGGTATTTCGTTCACACTCAGACACACCGACGTAGGCTGAAAACTGTAGGATTATCTGGTGGATCGTCAAAATGAAGCCGTGGCTCTCGCCGAAGAATCGGAAGAAACGGCTGACATAAACAATACAAAGTAGGGTGGTCAACTGATGACCGGGAAAAAAGATTTTTACGGATGAGACCCAAAATCCTGCTCCTCGGTACTGTTGGAGTCATCCGAGTATGATCAAAACCAAAGAAAGGTTTAAGAAGTTGACATATCCTGCCAAATGTGAAACACAGTGGAGGTGCGCAAAAATTTACTTTCGACAACTCAGGGATTCAGCTCACAAACTTTGGTTTCTGCAGGTATGGTCATGGTATGGGGCAGAAAATCTTGGCGTGGGGTCGCCACGTTGGAATTTATCGATGGTATCATGATAAAAGAGGAATCCTTAAATCTGTTGACGCGAAACCTGGATCATTCTGCCACGAAACTGCGAATGGGTTGCAGTTGCACCTTCCAGCAAGACGAAAACCCAAAGCATACCACCAAAATCATTACGGATTGGCTGAGGGACAACACAATAGATGTTTTCAGTGGGTTTCACAATCTCTCGATCTTTAACAGATCGATCACTTATGGGCACATTTGAAAAATCGGATGGCCGAACGGAAACTTACAAATGTGTAGGCTCTCAAAGCCGTTACCACAAATGAATGGGGAAAACTTGACCCGAATGTTACCAAAGGATTGTCGAGTCAATGCCAAGAAGAATCCAGGCCGTAATTGCAGCTAAAGATGCTCTCACAAAATATTAAATTATTAAATCAAACCCTATGATTAATTTTGTTGCGTTAGTTTTTCATTATTTTAAATTCAATTTTACCTGTACTACTTAAAACTAGACCAATTTATTTGAAATTTTGCAGATATGCGCACAGATACATGATGAATAAATGGTAAAAAAGTCATTTTGAAATTTGAAAGCGTGCATGACTCATTACCGAAAGAATGGGACTCATGCGCACCCTATTATTAATTTTGTTACATACAGTATGCCCATCACTGACGGGCATAGACACGATTTTGGTTTACAAATGAAAGCCCATAAAACGTGCAAAACTTCAGGCGAGGAGTTAACACATGTCACCACCTCTACATAATCTTTGTTTCTACGAAACCACACGACATATGTAGACTCCTAATTTAACTTCACGTATATGTACATACGTATCTATGTATATCCTCATCGTATTGTTGGCTAGGCTTGAGGAGCCACCTTATTGAAATATATGTATCGTATAATGAATAGGTTATGGCCTCATCAATTTCCTTTAGTGAGTGAAGCTTTATTTGTCTTATTTAGTACAGGAATTTAAGCTTCACAGATATATCTGGTATATGTCGGGCAGCGATAAAATATTTACACCAGGGCAATGAATAAATACTGGCATTAGTTTTTATGTGATACACATGGAAATATTTTGCGGAGGGCCGATTTTAATGCGCACGCATTAAGTAATGGTATGGAGGAATTCCATTAATTTTTAAAATTATTGGTACAAATATACCCATAATTTCATAAATTATACATTAATAATAAATAATATTTCCCTCCTATTCTAAATAGCTCTATTGCGATATTTCCTGCACATGCCGGAAAGGATAAAATTTTTATAAAGTTATATATGTAAGTTTTGCATAATCCCTGGCGTTTCCTCCTAATAAATTTTATTTATTAAAAGAAACATCCTTCGTCGATATATGGGTGTCCCGTCGGACCAACATAACTCAATTTTCAATGCTGAGAACTCTTATGGCTTCTAGCCTGGATTTATCCGAGCTAGACTCGAAGTCTGGTTATCACTGTAGATAATATTTTTTACGACTTTGATTTCCGCCTGGTGTATCCAATCCGTCCACGGCCCCCGTCTTACAGACGGGCCAACTTCTGTATTTAACTTAAAAGTATTTCCAAACTCTAAACATATACATTGTGCTAGTAGCCAAGTTAAATCGCGATCGTAATTTTAAGAGGATAATTAAAATTGAATTGCTTCGAAGCAACTCTTCTGATATATAAAGTGTGGATTCTCCACTAGACCAAATATCCCGAAACTGTTCTCCACTGTAAGAAAAATTCAAGTAAAAATACAACATCTGTTAGGAGGGGAAAAAGTAAGATTAATATTTAAACAAGATTATCCTCAGTGTCCGGAAAACGGCGCCGTTTTGCCATTTTGCCGTTTCGTATACTTTAACTATTATCATCCCGAAAAACGGCATGCCGTTTTGCTGTTTTGCCAGGGAGTACACTGGTTATCCTCAATCTTAAAGTAAAGCTATTATTATCAAATTATGTAATCTTTACTGTACAAAATTTCCGGCCTCAGACTCCAATTAGCTTCTTGGTAAGAGGTCGAATTAAAATTTTGCTCAAATCGAGGATTTTTAAATTTATGTCCTGCTACAAATTAAGCCTTCCAATATCATCATACACCCAAGACCAGTTTTGTTTAAATTAAAAACCAAAAGATAACCTTATTTATTTTCTGTTCCGCTAGATTACAGACAAACATGTTTGCCTACGCTTACTACAAACCCTTCTACGACGCCATATGGAAACGGATGGAAAATCCATCCCGTCCCGCGAGATGGAGTGACGCTCCCAAAAACTCCGACGTGGATAAGGACAGCGCTTGGTCACTTGCCTGGGTTTGCGAAGGGTTTGCCGAAGTGCGAAGAGAAATCCTCTCAATCAAATTACAACCGGATGTTGAGCTTCTAGTGGGATCATTTCCATACATATCACACGGCAAGGATAACATGTTTCCGGACACGGAAGCCTTAGCCGTAGCGAACACCGCGGTCCTAGCTCCTTTCGGTCGGAAGGATTTCTTCAATGGGACCAGGGTTGAGCTGAATCTTCGAAGAATCACGCAGGATTGTATCGACCATATAAATGGGAAATATAGGGGTAAAAACCCCTTTAAATTCGACTCCTTCCCCCTCCAACTTCGTAAGGGATCAGAAGGCGTGGAAATCACGGATTATTATCAAACTCTTGGAATAACGCATCCCACGGATTTCAATTCTCGGGCCGTTCGAGACTTTTATTTTTCCACGCACATCTACGTGTTTATGCGAGGCTTCAGGCTACTCACCTTGTCCGTCTGTACCTCCGCGTTATGTATGACGACCTGCACGGACTACGTGGATGCGCCGGACGACCCGAAAATGGGGGGCCGTGAAGCTTACGCGAAAGCTGTGGTTGATTTTGGATGAAGTAGTGACCACGTCGGCGATGATAGCTCACAAAACGGAAATATTAGAACACTGTTTGGACGGAGGGATGGAGGCCGCCCCACCTCTGGGATGGAACATAACGCCGTTTGAGTACTTCGAGTCGAGATGGTGGGAGGCGGCTATGACGGTTTTCTTTAAGATGCCACTCCTCCTTGATGGAGGGGGGAATGGGGTGCCGTGCGATGAGAATTGGATCCCGTTGGGAACTCGGCTTTGTCCATCTATCAGGAAAGCGGTGGATGTAATAATTCGATACGATGAGCTGGTGGATATTTTTCACGACATTCATTCCAACGAACCGATGAATGAAATTCATGTAAGAATCTGACACCGGATATTTTCATGGTGTCAGACGAGTTAAGGCTTGACACCTTTACCAAAGTGAGCGCGAGGTATGACTTTCACGGTGAAGTGAAGGAATTTCCGTATAAAATTCACTTTTCCTCAAATTGTGAAGACCAGAGTAAAGTCGTACTGTAAAGGTTTTAAAAATTTGTAAAATTTGTAAAATGTAAATTAAAGTATCAGAATATTATTTATTATTATTATTATTATTGTCCACTCTCAACTCGTTCGACACCTCGGTAGCTTCCCTACTAAGATTATTTTATGGTATCATTATTTTATAAAGAAAAGCCTTCCTTGTGAGGGCTCAAATTGTGGCTGAGTAGAACACTACCAAATATTGACAGCGGTCTAGTACTACTATGTATGTAAACCTTTAGAAAATTATCTAATTAGAAGTAATTCATCACATAGGTGGCCGCAAGATACGGTGGGATTGAGGCAGTACGCGATTACGCCTGGGCATGCGCCGGCAGTGTCGATGAAGTCGCGACTTGTAACTGTATAGCTGGCGAGCGGAGTCACGAGTGGGGTATCCGGGCACCTCATACCCCACATGTCATTCCCCCACATCTCATACCCCACATTGCATGCCCCCACAACTCATATCCTCACATCTCATGCCCACCACATGTCATTCCCTCACACTGCATTCCTTCACATGTCATCCCCCACACATGTCATTCCCCACAGTTCATGCCCCCAATCCATCCTGATAAATGCGAAATAAGTTGCATTACTTCATATTAATTGGTACATACATTATTACACATTAGTAAAAACCTGTATTCTGTATTGAACTGAAAATAAATCACTTCTTGGCTGGAGTGACACAACCAACGAAGAAGAAATATCAATCTGCTTCGAAAAGATTTTTATCCGGTTGTTGGACGATACGGTTGCGACAGATTGTCGCCTTTGTAGTAAAGTCAAGAGTATAACTTTAAAGCCACCCATTGTATCACTGTAATATCAGTTATCTCAAAACTGCCAAATTTGTCCAAAAATTGTGCATACCATTCTTAGCAGCTCAGACTAGCCATATAGCTAAAATCTAAAGCCCACTAATTTCACGCTAAAAATTAATAAATTAGGCAGAATAAAACTTTAAGGCCGCGTAGAAAATTTTATCAATAAAAATTGATATATCAATTTGGCAATTACAATAACGGCAAGTTTAACGTATAATACTTCGTAGCACTTCCACATCTTAAACTTAATTCGATAGTGCAACTCGGCATCGAGTAAATCTGATTTGTATGATTGGTTTTCCCAATTTGGGGAAAAATACAAATTTGTTGACGCAAATCAAAATTTTGAGATAATAAACGTTAGATATTTTGCATGTACCTGATTTTGTCACTCAGTAAAACAAATGGTCAAAATCCTATTAAGTATGACTTAATAGCACATGTGACGCCATGAATGTGATCTTAACTAACACTGGAAATACCTTTGGCGAATAAATTTCTTCCATATTTTTGCTTCTCTTTTCTACGTGGGCTATTTTAAGTTTAAATCAATTTTCAAACATCAGCTACGATAAAAACAGATGCAAACCGCAATTAACTAATAAATATGTAGTACTGTAACTTATTTCGCATTTATCAGCGTGAATTGGGGGTATGAACTGCGGGGAATGACATGTGTGGGGGATGAGATGTGAGGATATGAAGTGTGAGGGAATGAGATGTGGTGGGCATGAGATGTGAGGATATGAGCTGTGGGGGCATGCAGTGTGGGGGATTAGATGTGGGGGAATGACATGTGGGGTATGAGGTGCCCTAGAACCTAAACGTTTCAACTGAAAAATAAATTAGATTTAGTGCAGTCCGTTTATCCAGTCCAGAATCTGGACTCCAGAACAGATACATTGCGACTTGGTTGGGAAACAGGCAACTTTTTGGACTACAGATTCTACTTTCACAATATTTTTTTTTGTGGGAAATGGTACGTAGGATTTTACTGATTTACATACTACTTTGTATTTATATATATTTTAAGGAATTTAATTTCGGAGCTTTGTATGTAACTCTTCGAAATAAGGCTTCCAAAACGAGTAAAAAAATACTACTGCAAAATCTATCAACACAACTCGGCAACCATGACATTTTGCGTGTCCAGAATTTCGTTTTTTATATAAATTGGTAACATTTTATGCACTGAGGCAGTCCTTTAAGGTAACTTTGTACAATCCGTAAATCTTGTAAAATAGTTTTACCAATTAAAAAGACGGCCTTGATCTGACAAGGGAAGGTTCCCGACTGCTTATCATGTCCAGGGTACCCACTATGTTTTTTAGAATCTACTAGGACCCCAGACGAAGGATTCATTCATATTTCCGTGTTAATCGCATATTTGGCGCCTCTCCACGAGAGTGAGAGATTGGGATAGACACTTCATCTAATTATTTGCAGTGCAAATTTTGCACCCTAAATTGGCCTAAAAAATGTAAAATACGTGACCGAGTATTCGAACCATACCTCGAATAATTAATTGAAGGTATTAATGACTATGTAGATATTATAATAAAATCCCAACTTTCAAAGTCGAAATTTTTCAAAAAAAACAAAATGTGAACGAAAAACCCGTATTTTTATCATATTTTGCCTACATTTTGACCTTTCCTGAAACATTTTAAGTGTGGAAGTTATTGTGTACTTATTTATTTAGAAATATTAACCATTTAAGGATCAAGTACACACTTTTTTGTAGTTTTAAACTTTTCGATGACCCCCCCCCCCCAGAAATCATGGAAAAAAATGGAAAAACTCGAGTGGATACACTTTTTCACTGAACTTTTCATGTACCAACGCCACGTAAAAAAGTGGAATTTTCGAGTTTTTCATATTTTTGAGATCTGACATCTGAATAAAAATGGGAAAAAGTCCTTTTTGTGGGGGGCAAATTTAAGGTAAATTAAGACCTCCAATTTGCTGTACGGGTCAGTAATTTTTTTACTGGGTATTTATTTAGGGCACCACCCAGTGCACGTCTGATCTGCCCACATATTTACATATTAACTGATCACAAATATTTATTTTTGTAATTTCAGCCTCCCGAAACAGATTTACACCTCCCCCCATCTCATCACGAAGCTTGTTACATCTGTGGAGAAAAATTTCCTACAAAGAAAGACTTGGCATCCCATCGCAAAACGCACCTTGGTCAGCGTCCATTCAGCTGTGACACCTGTCCCGCAACCTTTTCTGGTTGGACGACTTGCGAAATGCACAAACTGCGCCATACCCCGGAGTGGCCGGAGCTTGAAAAGGATGCCAAAAAGTTGTCCGAGCTAAAACGCAAGTTCGCTTTGGAGCGGGTACATTGGCGGATGAAGTTTTACAAAGCACCAAAAATCTATCCGTGTCCACACTGCGAGAAAACGTTTACATGGCCGGTATATCTTCGAAAGCATGTCAGAGCACATTCCACTGGTATGTAAATAATATCGTCGGCTTAGTGAGTAATGCAGTCAAGTCCAAAACGCGTCAAAAAGAAATGGAGTAAAGTCCAAAACGAATTAAAGCCAAAAGCCGGCAAAATGAGTTTTGGACTTGACTACATTTCTTTTTGACGCGTTTTGGACTTGACTGGATTTCTTTTTGATGCATTTTGGACTTGACTGCATTACTCACTAAGCTGACGATATCTATTTAATTTTTTTTCTTTGATCAATTTCGACGATTTTCATTTTACATGTCAGATATTCTTTGCTATTTTTTTAAATGTGAGGAGTCAGGGTTCGAAAAATATGCATTTTTCGTGACATTTAATTTATGGACGTTCCCTTTCATAAAGTGTTTTTGCCGAGAAAATCAAACTCATTTTTAGATTACAAGATCTTGCAATCTAAGGCCACAATTAATGCAAGACCTTTAATTAAAATTTGCAAATAATTTGTTCAACTAATTTTTAACTTGTTCTTAGAAAAACCACACGTCTGCCCCACGTGTGCCTCAGCCTATAAACATATTTCCCAATTGAGGGAACACACAGCACGTGCAACGTGCTCCAAAGTGATCCTCACCAAATTTTCGCGTGGCCTCCAGTGTGACCTTTGCCCCGTGCGGGTTAAGACGGAACGCGGGCTTAAATCGCATCGCAGAAATGCCCACGGAATATACATCCCTCGTCGAGTCAAACCATCGTACCCGTGTCCCAAATGTCCCCACGTGTCGAGCGCTCCTAGCAAATTCAAGGAACATGAAAATATGCACGCCGGAGTGAAACCGTACCCGTGCGAGGCGCATTGCGGGCTAGCATTTACTCTAAGGTTGGTAAATTTAATTATAATCTATAATTAACCTCTTGGCTACCAATTACACGTTTTTGTGTAATTTGAAATTTTTCAATGAAACAGCGCCACGAATAATATAAAGGACACCCAAGTTTACCAAAAACTTCAAACTGGAATCAATCTCAACCTGCCCCTTCGCACACTTTCCACGCCGGCATGTCTAGGAATGCATTACAACTCGACGGGTTGTTGCCGGACATGCCGGGGTGGAAAGTGTGCGAAGGGGCAGGTTGAGATTGATTTCCGGACAAAGTCATCTTGACGTTTTTGGTAAACTTGCGTGTCCTTTATATTAAATGAACAATGTATAAACTCCACTGCTAAAAAGTGAAAAAAATCCAGCATCAAAAAATACATTTTTATGGAATATTTCACCCAAAAATTTGAACTTTCTCAATACCAACACCAGGTAAAAAAAATAGAAGATTCGATTTTCCACATGTTTGAGATTTTCAGTCTGAATTAGAATCCTTCTTACCGAAATTTTAAATTCTTTCTTGCGAGGCAATTGGGTTAGCGTGATCAATTTTTAAGCGAATTATACAGTTTTTCATTAACCTAATTATATACTACTTTTCCTGATAGGTATACACTGTAAAAAAAAAGTTGAGTGAAATTGCCACCAGGCCAACTATTGAGTAAAATTTACCCCGCCAAAGTTAACATTTACTCAACGTTGAGCAAAAATCTGCCAAAGTTGGATCAATTTTAACTTTTATTGGATAACTTTTACTCAATAGTGGCAATTTCACTCAAAATTGAGTCAATTTTACACTATATTTTTTAGAGTGTATAAAAATAAATGAAATTTTATTTAATTGCTTAACCTAGAAAAAACATGTTGACCCATGTCCGGCGAGGATGTGCCAAGGCGCGGGAGCTCGGACTCGACGTCAAGTTCTTGGCTGAACAGAAAGCCCAGGCTGAAAGCAGGACTGGAAAAAGTGTCGTGATTCGGGACGGTCTGGTCTGTCCAGTTTGTGGCAAGAAACTAAGCACGATTCCAAAGATGAGGGAGCATCAAGGAATCCACGGCACGTGAAAGTGGACACGCGAAATTTGTGGGGTTGGATTTCAACACAAGGGAACCGTGGAAGTGCATCGGCGGGAATTTCATCCGGAAGTTTTGCCCGCACACTGTCCCGATTGCGGGAAACGGTATCGGACCGAGTATGTGATGAGAAAACATCGAAGGCTTGTTCATAGGGTGGAAGAACCTCAGGAAAAAAAATTGGATCCGATTACCACTGAGGGAAAGGGGGGAATGCTTCGTGGACCAGTGGTATGTGAGGAAGTCGAGATTTTAGTGGAAAGCTGTAACGACGATGTGAAAGATATGGATCCATTAAAATTTTAGAGGCTAATTTAAATTTTACACGTGATGTTCTTACTTCCTTTACATACATAGAAATGATGTATGTATATGCCAGTGGTATCTTTTACAGTGTAATAGAATTTTCGTCGAGTTTACCCAAATAAATTGAATTGAAATAAATACGTAGGAGTTATGTATGAGCAGCGACCGAATGACATGAACAACTACGAAATTTATAATACTTATTTAGGAATTTTTCATTTTCGTCAAAATATCATTATAATTTCGCCATAAAGTACTTTCATCATAATTTTTGTACCATTTTGGCAAATATTTTTCTTCGGCAAAACACTTTCGCCAAATTGTGTGTCAATCAATTAATCATCACTGTCTAGGAGCTGAGAAACAAATTCCAGAGGAATATAAATACATAGGTTACGTCTTCGCAATATGTGGATCCGCTTGGATTTCAAATACTCTTCTCGTCTACATAAGTTTGGTAATCTTGCTGGTCAAAAAGGCGACTTTATGTCATCAATCGTTGAAAATCTCCTCCCCCTGAGGTTTTTTTAAATAGGTAGTAGTTACAATTTGAAGATTTCAAAATTATAATACGCCATAAACGTACTTGAACCGTTACAGTATATGTAGATAATTGTTATATTAAAATTTTGTCGGTGGGGTTTGTTCCCATGAAACGATGCTTCTTCCCCAACATCTATAATTACAACATCAAGACATGTGTATTTTTCACGTGGTGTGAATGACCCGCCTAAGATTGGATAGAGGTAAGGATTATTTTATTGTGTGTGAATAATAAGGTCGCATTTCAAGTCAAGATAGAAAAAAAAGTATCGTCCTTTTTCAAGAGTCCACCATGGCTCGCAATAAATTGGTCCTCTGACGGACTACTTAGAAAATGGTCCGTCTGCACCAAGGACCGCTTGGTCTTTGACCCGTAAAGGGCAAAAATGTTCCGGAGGACCATGGTCCATTGCGAGTTATGGGTAAAGTCAAGCATTTATAATTTTAATGCACACTAATATGTATGTAGGTGAAGGTCCTGACAATGGTCCTTTTCAAATAAGGTTCCTTATTTCAAAAGGACCATTGTCCCTTTCTTAAAGGGTTGAACTTGCCTCAAATTGACTCGAGTGTAACAAAAGGTCCTACTATAAACATTACAAGTATATAACAGACCAAATACCCCACCTCGAGCTCACGTTCTCAGAATTGCCTTAAGGATATACATTATTATTAGATACGTATTATTAAGGGTTGAAACCCTATAAGATTGATATACGTCTGTCGGTCTGTCTGTCTGTCTTTCCCCGTGATAGTGATAACTCAAAAGCACTTTAAGATATTGACTTGAAATTTTGAACATAAATTCTTCTCATCTCAAATCAAAGGACAACTTCGAATATGGTCGTCGCAACCACGCCCCCTCGCTACGTGGGGGGTCATATCCATCGCAAACGTCAAAAACACGTCAGAAATGCCAAGTTTAAATGATTTTCAACGCTGAACACGAACATGACAACCGTTTTCATACAACCACCCCCCGCCCTCACCGGTTGACACAACGGTTTCACCCCTTCATTATATGCGCTTAACGGGTTATTATTACACGCGGATAGAAAGCATTGCCTTTCTTATTCACTTCCATTTCTGCTCCAGTCCATATTTTAACTTCAAGAAGGACACAATTCACTAAATATGGTTAATAACATGTTGGCAATTTTACCCCTCTACATTTTTCTGTTCACAACACCCCCCAACTTTGCGTCAGCCTGCACTTGTTCATTGTCTCGAGATGGATTCACAACCCCCCATACTCAATCCAATGTTAATTTATCCTTAAAATGTATAAACTGCTCCGAAATCCCGACCTACCCCAACGCCTCGTCCATCACTCAGCTCGACCTCGGCGGCAACCCGCTTATTCACCTTACCCCAAGCACGTTCTCACAGAAAGGCTTCGTCTCCCTCAAGAAGATCAATTTGTCCAACTGTAGAATCATGGATATCGATCAGGACACCTTTCTCGGCTTACAAATTATTTACCACCTCGACCTCAGCTATAATTCCTTGTCCTCCATAAATTTGAACACTAGCGCCGTGAAGACCTTGAACTTACGGGGGAATCCGATAAAAAATTTGGACTTTAATAAACACCTCTTGGACGAGATTGACCTGAGTAATTGTTCGCTAGATAGAATTCCACCAAATCGCCCATTCCTATTCTCGTCTTTAAAAAAGATAAACCTGGATTCGAATAAGTTAACTACGCTGCCCTGGTCAGAGGTGAGGGCGACTGATTTGCGACATATCTCATTAAAAGAAAATCCTTGGAGGTGCGATTGTCACATGCACTTTTTGGAAGAAGATCTCCACAACGTGTATCACATTAATACTGAGGACGACGTGGTTTGTGATTCACCCCCAAAATTGAGGGGACTCGGGCTGGACTCGATAACTAGAGAAATAATGGATGAATTGCCCTGTCCGCTTCAAATTACGGAAATGGCAAGAGTTAAGATCGAGGACAGGATCACCCTCAATTGTTGGATGCGGGGCAGGCCACAACCATTGGTCCAATGGCATCAGGGTACAGTGGACGTGGGGAATTTACTGCAGAGGTAAGTATTTAGGGGTGCCCTGGGTAGCGGTACTACCCGACATGAAATTTTTCCGAGTACCCGGTACCCGGTCGGGTATTTGTGGAATTTCTAAAATGCATTTCTAAGTTGCAAAAGTTGATATTACACAGACGAAAAAATTATATGCGGTATAGAAAGCAATTTTGAAATTTCCGAGTTTGCGAAAATGTGGCAAAATTTGTACCCAATCTTTACAAATATTTGCTTTTATATATTTTAAGTAAAAAAATGAGTTATAGAATTGAAACATTTTTTCTAAAGCTTTGAATTTGAAGTAGGAAAACTGAGTACGCAAATTACTCGGCAAACTGGGTAGCTTAGACTACCCGGCCGGGCACCGGGTATCACAAAAAGGCCGGGTACCGGGTAGCTACCCGGCATCCCTAGAGTAAAATAGTTTATTAAATTGACTTACTCATTACATGCCTAATATGAATTGCTCTATTTTTACAACAAAAGCAGCCAGATCATGACAATTTTTTGTATTTTTTAGCCAACCTGCAGAACCAACATTTTTTATTGCGGGGGAACGTTACCAATACAAATGGAAAAGCACGCTTGAAATTTTACCAAACAATTCGGCTTACCAGGGCCCTTGGACTTTTTGGTGTACTGCGCAAAATCAGTTTGACATAGCAAGAGCACAAATTACACTTACTGCACGGTTACAATTTTATGTTCACATTATGACGCCGGCAGCGGCGAAAATAGCGAGCGTGGAAACATTATCGCCAAATCAAGTCGTGTCAGCCCCACAATCAACTCAACGTCCCAGCATCGTCCCATTTTTAAAAACGGAGCCCATTCCGCCGATCTCGATTTCAAATGATTTTCTGAGCCCCACTACTGCTGACGACCCGTTTATAAGGCAGATGTCGATAGTAATTTGTACTTTGGTGGTGATACCCTTGCTCTTCTTGGTCGCATTGATCGTCCTGGTGGATTAGTGTGAAGTTAGCCTATCCTAGAGGATAGGATGGGGCTAGAAATAGCCATCCTAGAGCCGATTCGGCTTATTCGGCTATTTTCATTCATTTTTGTAAAAATTCGTTTTAAAGCATTAGCATTACTCCGGAAGTATTCAAATACATTATCCAATGTTTAAAATTGAGTTTTACGATGTTTTCCACTAAATATACACACCAAACCAAAAAACTTATATATCTCATCTTTCTGCTGCTCATCGCATAATTTGACACCTAAGCATTATTTCTCGCACCTTTTGGTCCCCCAACCATTATACCGTAGCCACATCACAATGTTTTATAAAATTCCAATATTCAATTTTTATCTTGATTTTTATTTGATTGATTATTATTCCCGTTTTGAAATATATATTGACTGATTTTTGTACTATTACTAGGGTTCACGAGAGATGCTCTCATGCTGATGACTAAATAAATATTCGTGCATATAACAACTTAAATATGTCGTGTGTTATTACTAAAAATTCGGGTACTCTAAAACGATTACGGGAGATGCTTACGGGCGGGAAAGGATTAGCGGGAATCGGTGGATGGGAAATGGTCACGGGCGGGGGTAGATGGACGGAAAAACGCGGGCGGGAAAAGATGGGCGGAAGACTTCCGTATACCCCTGGGAATGTCACACTTTGAAAGGAAAATTTAAAAAAAACGAAATCCAAAATTAGTCGTAACTTCGCCAATAAATTGAAATTGAAATTTCGAAAAATTGGTTTAGGGTAGTGTTTTTCAGCTTAATAATAATTAGTATAAAATTTCTGAGTTTGATCTGAGATTTTGATGAGAAAAACTGAGGATGAGCCTGCATGAATTACATGCATTCATATGAAAGAGATACGAGACGAGAAGAATGAGAAACTCGTTGTCAGATTCCCCGTCTCGTTGAACAGGCGACCTTCGTCATATCAAAGCAGCTGACAAAAGTAAAACAAATATGTTAAGTTCTATTTTTGATTTTCTTAATTAGTAATTTGCTAATTTATCTTAAAATCTTTATCATGTAATTTACAAATTTAAATTTAGTCAAGCCAAACACTACATTTTCATGACAGTGTCACCAATGGTGACTCACCATTCCACATTCAGAGCAATACATAAGTAAATAAATTGGAGTGATTTACACGAACAATGAATTTTAAAAGTATTGTACACCCTTAAAAATCATGAGTGTATTCATTGCGAGTTATTCATTGCGAGTTTGCACGGTCGCAGGGCAAAATAACTTTCCAAAATATTTTGCCAAATATCTGCACTGGATGTTGGCAACTCCGCAAATCATCAGAACTTGCTAACATATGACACAATTTTTTTTAGACACACTAACAAATGTGAAAAATATCAAAACATGCATACATGAGAAAATTGCGCACAATTTTAGTAAAAACATTACCAGAATAGTGGAATTACAGTGGTTATAATAACACTCGATAAAATTAAAGATCCAAAATTTAAAATTGCATGATATTAAGAAATGTCCAATTTTTTGTCAAGAAAATGTTCAACTTTAATACTGGGTTGGTGTAGGTGACATCTCTCAAAATACGGACAGATTTCACTCCTCTGACAAAAATAGTGAAATTGGCCTTCCAGAAAGGACAATTTTCTTCCTACCTCCCCAAAACCAGAATTTTCCAGAACTACTTTTGTCTCCCTTCAGACTTATAGCGTTTCTTATTAAACAACAACAATTGTTTTCCCCACAAGTCAAAGGTTAGTTAATGAAGAATTGTCTCGCGAGGCATTAATATTATTCAGCATTATGCAACTTGAAGCTTATATTGGTATGTAATTGAATTTGCATAACCAATTAGCAAAGAATATTTGGTAAACTAATTACGTGATGAGCAATGCATTCCATAGTTATATACGTATTAAGCAAAATACGAATTAGCTCATGGTCTCATCGATTTGTCATCGTATCTCAATTAAGTGATGTCAATATACATACCCCGTATTGTTTATTTCGATAATCTATGACATTGATGTCGTGTATACAAAATTATGATGAGATACGATCAACTGAAGTGATTGTTTAATAGCGAATCCATTGAGGTGAAATAACACAAGGTCAGTTCGTGTAAAATGTCAGGATGGAGACATGCGCCTGAAAGTTACATTGGTTAGGCATACAATCCAGTCCAAGTGTGGAATGCGTAATTAAACTCTTCGCAGTGATGGACATCAATTATTTGCAACACAAAATCACACCTACAAGAGACACACGATCAATTGAATGTGTCCCCCAAACGATATTCTCAAAGTTATTTAACTGGGTGACAAATATGATGTGAGCACGAGCACGTCACACCATGGAAAAACCAGCTGACATGATCTCCTTGTCATTTCTCTAAATAACTCGAGTGATAAACGCTGGGAATGGAATTACGCATATATAAACTATCTGTGATATTAAGTTTTTATTATACAACTTTCTGCCAAGGTTAATCTATTAAATTTGTTCATACATTCGATCTGGATTGAGTTCACGCATTTTTCATTATTGTTTAAAGAAACGATCTTGTTTAGAAAAGCTGAATGGAATAAAATTGAAATCTGTAAAAGGCAAATTACATATTTTTCCTTGTCAGATTTATATAATTTGGACACGCTCCTAATTCCGGAAGAATAAATAGTACCAAAATAAAAATAATTCATACTTATACTTCAAAAGTTAAACGCAAACACAAAATTTCTGAGAATATTTAACTTAACAATTGGATTTTCGGGTAACGCAAACGTTTATACATAAAATTGAAAACAGCCTAGCTTACTTAACGAGATGAGAAAATTATTCATGAAACTTACTTATGAAATTTCAGATACCTTGGCCCAGCATCTTTCGATTAGTTACTTAGATTTGTAATACTAGAAGGCTTTTAAAGTATCATAACTTTCTTTGAAGCCAATCGGTAACCGTTTTGACCTTAGCTTAATCTAGAATTATATACGAACGAGTTTTATCTGTACTTATTTCCTTTCCATCAGATCATGACTGACCAAACTTACGATGCTAAGATCCGGGCTCTTAAATACGGCGAGACTCACAAAATATCCGAATTTCTCGGCAAGGGAGCATTCGGATGGGTATTTAAATACCAGACTTATAGTCAGATTGACCCGTTAATTCAATCAAGTTCAGCATTCTCTGCAGTTAAATATATCCTGCCCAATAAAGATCCAGCCGACAGCTGTGCTGGCACGTCAACGTCTACTGACCAGGAAATAGAACAACGAGAATTTGAAAACTCGGTGAAAAAGAGACATAAAAACATTCTGGGTGTTGGCGACTACAACGAACAAATCTTACTCCTTGATGACATCCCGTCATATTTCGGCACCTCTGAAAGTGACGTAACAGCCCTGAAAGAGTTAGTCGCTCGTTGCATAGACATCGCGTGTATGGAAGGCAGCATAAAAATCCGTCGATTAACGATGACTTTATGTGGAAAAGATTTACGCCAGTGGTTAGCTTATGTGCAGGAAGTGAGGGAGATACCATATCTTGAGAACCAGAGATGTGGCATTATTTGTGGGATTTTGAACGGTCTCAACTATTTGCATGGACAGCACGTCCTACACCGCGACCTTAAACCAGAAAATATTTTCTTCTCCGTCTCATCCCCAGAGGAGTGGCTACTTCCAGTGAAAATCGCAGATTTTGGCTTGAGTCGTGACTTAGAAGAGGAGAGTCCGAGTAAGGATGGCGTTGCAGATAATTTAAGTTGTGTCGGCACAGCAAGTTATATGGCACCGGAGGTTACCAGTGGGAATTATACTTTTCAAGCAGACTTGTTCTCGTTAGGACTTATTATTTGGGAAATATTTCAACCAATTGTGGAGAACGAAAGGAAAGAATTATTTTGGAAGTTGGTCCATTGTGGAGACACAAGTGTTGTGCAGATTACAACGACAGGCGTCAAAGAATTAATTGTTGCTTTAACGAAAGCCAATGTGGAGCATAGGCTGGCGTCAATTGAGTACGTGAACGTAACTATTACGGATGATGATGAAATATTTCCAAACAATGCTGCCGAGCTTCAGATTTGTCTTGAGACACAGGAAACAATAATCCTGGCTGAAGTGGAATACTCTGGACACTTTGAGGTTAACCGTACCGGTGTCACGATTAAGGGGCAAGGTGAAAAGAGCGTCATCAAGTATAAGGAGTATCAAGAAAGCGCAGTTCTGGAAATAAGTGGGCACGACTGTTTCCTACATGATTTCTACGTGTCAGCCGAAGAACGTGGGGTATTTGGAATTTATGTGACAGGGGATGACAATATATTTAGTAACATGACCGTTGCAGGTGGCAACTACGGTTGTTTCATCATGAGTTCTGGAAACAACTTTTATGACTTTAATGTAGCTAGTACGAAATCCGGTGTAGAAGTCTATGGTGATCAAAATATTTTTAATCGAGTTAACATTGAAAATGTGGCACAGTCCGGAATCATAATTTTTGGAAGTAATGTTTTCATAGACAATTTTCGCTTTAGTTATGGGAACAGTGAGACAGCCCCCAGCCTCTTTAGTTACGGTTTGGCAATTAAGGCGCAAAGTCATGATTGTGAAATACGCTCCAGTAATTGCTGCGCAGTAAAAATTGAAGGACATAGTCACACCTTGCGGGACGTAGAATGTGGACATATTATCGAGATTTCCAACGTTTCAGGAAATCGCCATCAGTTAAAGAGGTGCAAGGGTAATATATGTCACACGGATGATGCCAGCATTATTCCCATAAAGGACAACCATGGCAACGAATTTTCGATCTATTCAAGAGGTCTCGACTTACAAGAGAGATTGGAAAATTGCACTTCCGGCGACGTGATACAGTTGGAGGAGGGAATCTATAGTGGCGGCTTTGTGATTGCGAAGAATAACATTACCCTAAAAGGCGTTGGGGACGGGACTAAAATCAGTTGTGTCTCGCACATTGACACAATCGGACTTTCAATTATGTCTAATGACTGTACGATATCAGACCTGCAATTTGTAACTCCGTTTGAAGAGACGTCCGGGATGCGTGTTACTGGTACAAACAATGTTATCAAGAATGTATTTTTCCGCGGAGGGTGGGTCAGTATTTGTATTAGTGGAAACGGTAACATATTGAGTGATGCAAGGATTTCCTGTACCCAATTATACCAAAAGAATTTGAGAAACCTTTTCCGTGATGGAAATCGACGCAGAATAGTCTTTTCAAGCTTATGGTATGTAAATCTAATTGGTTGATGAATATTAAATATTTTTTAAAAATATACCTTAAATACTCCATTTATAGCCCTATTCCAATTAACAAGTTGTTCAAACCGAATACACTTTTGACTTGTGGAATAGCCGGTTTCCAAATATAGCCGGGTCTAGAGAACACGATTTCAAAATTTTAGCCGGGTCTCTAATTATGGCCGGGTCCCTAATTATGTACTGTCTTATCTGCTGACTGTATTCATAGTCTCTCCTGGACAAATGCTGAACATTGTAGCGAATGATGTACTGATTAGATTTCATGTTAAATAGAAAACTCTAATTGAGTTATCATGAATTACACGTGATCTTTTAATGTTCAAAACTTAACCGGGTCTCTAATTTTAACCGGTGTCTAATTGTAGCCGGGTCTGCGACACTCAGATTTGGATTTTAGCCCCGGATATTAATAGAGTATTTACGGTACTACATATCGTCATTATTTATTTATGTAGGTAGAACATTTGTATCTCAATTTTTAAAATTTCCTAAAATTTTCCTAAATCTTAACATCCGTTTTCAACAAAGTTGCACTTTTGTGACGCCAAGCTTGGTATTAAACCTATATGAATTGTGGTTTTATTTTTAAAATTAGAGTTTGTTTTTAAATTCAAGGCCAATGGCGGGTGGGTCGCTCCTTTTAGGAGCAAACCATAATAACGTTTCTCATTTTTGAAATTCCAGGAGTGGTGTTGTGATTGACGGTAGTGAAAACCAGATAAGAAACCTGCAGTACAACAAGGTCCCCAAACTTCCAGGGGTGATAACTTGCGGAGTTTTGATTCATAGTGGAAAATCTAATAATGTGGAGAACTTTACTTGTGACGCAACTCACTGGTCTAAGATCACTTTCGGACTTCTTGTTGGTAAAGAAACATCACTTTCGACACTTTCGAATTGTCGGTTTGGTAGAGGAACGATCGAAGGAAGTTGCCATACAATGACGGACATAGAGGCTTCACTAAGTTTAAAACTCTTCGGACAAGGTCATACCTTAACGAAATGTACCTCAAACCATTTACGTACAGACAAGATTCAAAAATCAATGACTGACTGTGACTTCACAACGACGGAACTAGTTGAATCAGAAGAAATTGGTACGGAAAAGGAGGAGGAAACTTTAATCGCGTCCAGTTCCGAATCACCCCAATCCAGACCTCACGAAGGAATTGATAGGATCCCCTTGAATTCGAAAGAATTACTCGAATGCTTATTGAATTGCAGCCCGGGTGATACAATTATACTACGGGAGGGTTTATACGAGGGACATTTCGGGGTGATGAAACCTTCTGTAAAGATACAAGGCGCAGGTAAATTTTTGACAATTCTCCAAAACCCGTTATCCACGGGTGGCAAAAATTACGTGCTGTCCGTGGCGGGAAATGAATGCACCATAAGCGACCTGTGCATCGTCGCTACGGGTCGAACGGGAGGGCTTCTTTTGCACGGTTCTGGAAATTTAGCAAGAAACTTGGCTTTTCTGGGCGGTGAAAAAGGAGTGGAAATTCGGGGACGGAATAACAAACTTTCCGATATCAAAGTGGAAGATTCCATGTGGGGAGTTTATTGCCGTGGAGATGGAAATGAGATGGAAAACCTGGAAATGGAGAATGTTTCAGACATTGGAGTAATGATTTCAGGCAGCTGTAACAATGCACTCAAATCAGCAAGGTTTCTTAATTCTGCTTGTGGTGTTGAAGTGAGAGGAAATGGAAACACTTTGTGCGATGTGATTTATCGTAAGGGTTCACACGGTGGTAGCTCAGTCGGAGTACGAATTCTTGCTGGGGGAGGGAATACCCTAGATAACCTTAAATGTGAAGGGGTACAAAGGTGGAAAACAGATTTGGGGTTGGAATTAGAGAGCCAGTCAATCCATGCAAGAATAACCAATTCTGTTTGTGAGAGGGTGCGAATTGCTGGACATGAACATAACATGAAGAATGTAGATTTTGGTGTGAGACTAACATTGGAAGGGATTGGGCATTCATTTGAGGATTGTAAAGCCCTTCAAGTTGTAGACATTAAGGGGGAAAATGTGGACATTAGTGGAGTTGATATTCAAGAAGAGGACTGTCACGATTTGTTGGGTGACTTACTAGTAAACTTGTTGATATAAATTAGTCAATCTGTGTAAATATTTGCATGCCCATACATACGTATGTATATTTATGTATCCATTACATACTACGAACATCGCTTTTGTTAAAGGGAGTAATAAATTGGTAAACATTTCCGAAATATGTAACTTTATCAAAACAACGCACGGCAGATTGTTTTGATATATTTAAATATTGTTCTTCAAAGGGGGCATTCAACGGAATGATAAGCGCCATGCGATTCCTAAGTTTCGGATTGATTTTTTGATATAAATCATTATTCAATCCCGGTGTAGCCTGAAAACAGGTTCCATTGTGAGTACTGACATTTTTCACTTCACAATAAGAAAGGGCTCCTCTACTCACAAGGGAACCTCAACCACTGTCCCATCTCGATTTCCCTGCAAATAGCATTAATTGACAGATAATTTAATGAAACTATAACTATGTCATAGAACATGCGGTGCAAAATCACCTTTTCGCGAAATGTTTGGCGAAAAGTACACCAAAACGAGCAATTTTCCCCATGCTTTTAACATAGGCGACAGGTTTCTGAACGAAGAAATAAAGTTTATCGATTATTGATATCCCAGTCTGTAATTTCATTCTGATCACGAATATGCAAACAGTTACACACACATTTACCAGTTTTTTTCAAATTGCAAAAATTTACAAAAATTTCCAAAATTTTCAAAAATTCCAAAATTTGTAAAAGTTTCAACAATTACTGACTTCTGGGATATCAATAATCTATCAACTTTATTTCTTCATTCAGAAGCCTGTTGCCTATGTTAAAAGCATGGAGAAAATTCCTCGTTTTGGTGTACTTTTCGCCAAATATTTCGCGAAAACGTGATTTTGCACCGCATGTTCTATGACAAAGTTTTAGTTTCATTAAATTATCTGTCGATTAAGACTATTTGCAGGGAAATCGAGATGGGACAGTGGTTGAGGTTCCCTTGTCAGACACGGTTTTTTTTAAATACCAATATTTATTAGTATTTGGTATATCAGATTCTTTTCTTTGACTATATATTTATCCGATTATTTTGTTCGTATTGTCTCCTCTGCAGAAGTCCACAAAGAGATAATCCTACTCCGAGGACAAACGCATAACCGGACAGGAACAAAGTCTGGTCACGAATTCCGAGGCGTAATCCAACTCTTGAGGAAATAAAGAGTGTCAGTGCTGCGTAGATAATGCATGCCGCCTCGAGACCATTTAAACCCAGGATGAAGCCCCTTCACTTCTTTCTCGGATGAATTCGGCTACCATGGACCTGAAATTTACTGACTTTTTAAATAATTATACTCGAAATAATTCGGTGGCAAATCGTCACCCGTGGGTTGTCCCCTATCGACAACAAATTAAAAACTCACTAAACAGATTTGACGACATTATGTAAAAAAAATTAGTGCATTTATGCAACAACTATATTTTCAGAGAATACAATTGTTCCAATTTGTAAATATGTGTCAAAGGCGTGTGTGTTTTTTACACAAGTTTTTGATTAATTGTCCCTCAGTGATACCCCAGAATAGAGCAATTTAGTACATTGCGGGTGACGATTTGTTTCCAAATTATTTAGAGTGTAAGACAAGCGAACTATATGTAAGACTACCTGGACAATTTCCTTACTTTGCTAATATAGCCAAAACTTGAAAAACCGGTGGGCGTGAGAAAAATTTAATCAGGTTTAAATTACTGAGTTTTACCACTTAAGAGCAAAAGAATGTCAGCATCCCATCAGGTTCACACCCCCGACAATAGTTGTATTAAGAGGTTAAAATCTTCAATTCCCACCTACTATGGGTGTAACCATCATGTGCGCTTTTCGCGTTAACTAACTTAAGTACATGGTGCGACACAAAAAAATTATCGTAGTGGAAAGGGGACCCCGATGGTCACCTCCTATCTCACGAAAACACACCCCATGTGGGCGAAGCTTTCCGCGCTTTTGCCATTTTTGAAAAATGAAACAAGTTGTAAAAATTTATAATTTCTGAAAGTGACTTTTTCTTAATTTACGTAATGCAATTCAAATTATTTTGTCGAAATCCCCTCGTGTAGTTACGAGAAATGAGGTATTACATGACATGACGTGGTTTAGTTAAAATCGAAAAGTCGCTGAGCACTGATTTTTTGGGATACCGTCGTCCTTGTTTAGCTGGGAAAAATGATATAACAGATGGCATGGTTTTACTAAAATGGAAAATTTTCTGAGAACCACACCCACTGCAGATACGGTTTCCAAGTTTGAGATATTCCTTCGATACCCCCTTGTCGAGCTGAGAACAATAATGTATCACATGACATGGTTTCGTTAAAATCGACAATTTGTTTAGAACCACACCCACTGGGGGTGTGGTTTATAAATTCTAATTATTCTGTAGAGGTCCCCTCGTCGAGCTTAGTAAGATGATATATCACATGACATGGTTTCGTTAAAACCAAAAAGTCGCCGAGGGCCAAACCCACTGGGGGTGTGGCATATGACCACTAAAAATTTCCTCATATAGTATATGGCTTAGGTTATTGCTGCACACCAAAATCTAATTTTTCTTTCTTCAAATTCGGCTGCTATATATTTTTGGCCAAAATTTATTAAATCTGGCCCACTGTGCATTGTTGCCACGGATGATCAAATTGTGTCCCTGAAGAAGTGTCAATCTGTTAAGACAAGCAACAAGTGGTTTCTCAAAGAGTTTGGACGGATAGCTAGTGCGGACAAAAAAACATTTAGCATCGTTGGAAGTGCAGTACTGTCCGTTTTAGAGCCGATCGTTTCAAAACTCAAAGAAGAGGGCTGCAATTTAAGGGATGAGGCGGTAGTGAAGAAAAGGTTCCAGAAGATCTTTGGTAAGAGGGTGGTTACATATTTGTAAAAAATAATTTAATTGACTCTCATTATGCATATATGCGTATAAAGGTACTCTTGGCAAAGCCCCTTATCAAAGTCAGTCATCCCTTGATAGTAATCCGGAGAATTTATGCAGCTTAGGTTCACGACAAGGAGGAGAAAGTGGCAAAAGGAACATTGGTGGGTTACTTAAGCTGATATGCATATTAAGTATTTGCGCAATCATTGTAACCTGAAAAGGCGAACAATTAATTGTTTCTTGATATTGTAGCCGAGGTATCTTTATCGCCCATGGCTGAGACTCAGAAAAAAACAAAAGTTGATCGGGATTAGTCTGGAGAATGATGGTAAGTATTGTTTAGTTACCTGAACCATATTTTGTACCAGTCAAAAAGCAACGCGTTTGTATTACTCGGCCGTTCTTTCTTCAGAACAGAGACCCCACAAATGTGCAGTAGAAACCATTTCGCTCCCGTACGAAAAAGCCATAGGAGGCCGATTGCAGTGGTGCACCAAAGGCCTCCCATGTCGTTCTTATGGGAGCGAAATGGTTTCTACTGCACATTTGTGGGGTCTCTTGTCTGAAGTAAGAACGGCCGAGTAATACAAAAATTGGAACTTATTCACAAATGCGCCCTAATTGAGCAACGTAACAAAATTCGCCATTAAAACAATATTAAAATAAACTTGTTTGCAAATTACAAGTAACAAAAGTAACACAATAATTTGAGTATTATATCGAGGGTTTTTACATTTCCATGTTTGCGAGTTTTCGTAGACCTGCATGCCCAATCCTAAGTTTGCGGCATCTTTTTCATAAGCGGTAGGTTAGGGAAGGTTAGGTTAAAATAAAAATCATGACATTTAGGACATCGACGATCTTAGGCTGGGAACCTCACATAAGACAAATAATTTTTAAGAAATACTTGTTACGAAGGGTATTTTAGGTAAAGCCTCTGAAATTTAATTTCGTAAATGACGAAAATTAAATTTTTAAAATCTAAACCATCGCTTTCAGTGGAACGTGTTGCAAGGGATGTTCAACCCTTGGAAGTATTGCCTGCCCCCTCAATTGCAATCGATGTTAACCAGAAAGTCGCAACACAATCGTCGCGTCGCGTCCCAACATCTGGAAAACCTTTGGCGGAAAAGTCGGAGATAGTTGCGATGCCAAAAAAGGAGCAAGCTGCCCGAGGGATAAAATCAACCCACAAACCAGATCCACAATCAACTGAGAAAGAGAAGAAATAAGGGAATGTCCATAAATCACCTGACAATTTTCAACATTGGAGGATAGGGAATTTTGCCTATCCTCCAATGTTGAAAATTGTCAGCTGATTTATGGACATTCCCTAACCAGATTCCTAAATTAGCGTGAAACTTTATAAAATGACCAGTACATGAACTATGACCAATTCAATCAATTACGTATTCTGTCAAGTTCAGTTAATTCATGTTTTGTAACACTTATATTGAATAAATACGAATATGCATTTCGGGGTTCCAAAGTAGTTATTTTTGTGTACTTGTGCAACATATGCTATTAATTATCTCTTCTAGAACGAATTTCAAAATTCTTGACAGCGCTTTTGCAAACCATACTGCTGAGTGCATGTAGGAATTTAACATTGTGGTCCTATGAGGATTAATCTACTAACCTAATCTAAGTGGTGTCAATTCCGTAAGGATGTAGCAAAAGGTTGGCAAAATTGGCTAATTGACAGGCCTTTGTTGGCTTAATCAATTAATTCATGCTTATGGTTCCATTCTATCACGTAATCTCGACTCGAGTAGACTTTCTTCAAATTATTAAGCATGTAAAACTTCATTATTCACCAAAGTTTACAGTTTACAGTAGTTTATTCAAGTGTCGCAAATCATCAGAATACTCTGCTTTTCAGATTAAGACACAATATGCATAACTATATCAAAGCAATAAGATAATTAAAAATAAATAAAAAAACCAAAATATTTCCGAAATCATTATCAGTTTACAGTTGGACGAGATACTTATAGTTAGACGTAATCAATATTAAAACCATTTAAAACAAACCAAGCAGATACAATTTCACTAGCCTATTCCATAAATCTCAAACATAGAAATAAAAAAGTCATGTACTTGATCAACCATCTGTGTATCAAAACAATTATTCACAGACTGATTTATGAGTGGACTGAGGATTTTAGCTAATTTACGTAATAGATTATGATAATTAATATTTTTAGTATTTTCACGAGGGCTAGTACTTACAAAAATAGGAACACAACATGGGCATGCCCACGAATTAGATTCTCGGAGATTAAAATAAGAATCATTTGACATTGAAATATTACATCTATTTTTATGGAAAAAATTAAAGCAGTAAGAACACTGGAGTGTTCCTATTTTCCAGCGGTCCTCCTCTTTAATATTCCAGTTATTAGCTTCCCCTTCAAGGCTCTCCTTAAAAATAACACAAATAGTTACGTCATTTACTGTGATTGTGTATAGTACGTCGACTGAGGATTGTCCACAAAGGTGACAATCAGGTCCCAAGGCGTCTTCATCGTCCCAGTAGTAGCCGCAAAGGAGTTCCGAAATTGCATCGTTTACATCAGGGTCCATCCCATCGTCTCTTAAAAGGACGCCGGTAACAGGGTTAACAAGACGGATGATTTCCAAGGTGGACATCGTAACAGCGAGATGCAAGATGTTGAATAGGATCGCTTAGCTGGATAAAAATTAAGATTAAGAAGAGCAGGCGAAGTATGAAGATCGGAACAATTGACCTGAGGCGGATCGATTTTTATATAGCGCCTTCGGTCAGAGCGCTTTTGGTCAGGAGCAAATTAAGCGCTTTGCTCGCAGCGTCAGTGGTCCGACAGGGTTTTATGGATGGGAGTCCATTCACGTGAGGGGAAGAAGGTAGACAGCCAGGTAAAACATCCCTCAGAGGAAAAAACCGCAATTCAGCGCAAGAAAAAGGTCAAAAAAACTGACCAGAACACTATCACTCGATACACATTTTTACAGTGTGTAAAATGGTATATCACACGACCCTGGGGGAGGTCCGAGCCCTTTGAAGCTTTTATTTTAACAATATTCCAAACTCGGAGAGAAAACTTTGTGTGTGTAGAGTGAGTGGTGAGCTGAACGTGGTGAGCTGAAATCCCAATAAATATCACAGAAAATTGCGCAAATTTCTTATTAATATTGCAATAACATTGCAACTTGCTCGTGGCATTTTGTTGCACAGCTATGAAATGAACGAGTGAGGATCAAACGATGAAGATTGATTTCGTTTCCTTTTATACACAGCGTACATGCTGGATTATTCACTCAGTGCTCCTCTTCACCCCTCCCTCACTTTGGATATATGAAATCTTACAATACAATACAATACAATACAATCTTATACAATCAATTTTATTTGCTTGGATATTTAACAAATCGTGATAAAATTGCATGCTTCAAAGTCAGGTCTACCTATTTTGTACAGGACTTGACTGGATTTCTTTTTGACGCGTTTTGGCCTTGACTGAATTTTTTTTATGCATTTTGGACTTAGCTGGAATACTCACTAAGTCGACGATTTGTGAGTTTACTTACTTACTCCAATGTTTTGAATATACGGTTGAGCCATATTTACATTCTTAAAGTGTAGTGGAATACTTTGCAATAATACTAAGGACAATTTCCTACATGACAGGTATTAAACTCAGCTATCTTCGAACTAATTCTAAAAAGAGCTAAGTGCCGTCGATTCTTAATTCGTAAACAAACTAAGTGCACATTACAAATATAGTTAAGTGTGCACTTAGTTTTTTTTTCGAATTAATAATCGACGGCACTAGTGATGGTAATCCGCGGATATCCGATTCGACCGGATTATCCGGCCATTTACTATAACATGGATCGGATCCGATCATCGGATCCATGTTATAGTAAATGGCCGGATAATGGCCGGAACAAACAATCCGTCGGATCGGATCGGATATTGCTGGATTGGATTTACCAACACTAGACGGCACTTAGTTTGTTACACAAACTAATTAGGGGGTTCATTTTTTCCGGAATCGTGCTCTCGCCCGTTTACCGGGACCGAAGCAGAAATCTAACCCACGGTTTGTTTTCAAATTTGTCCGACGCTATGTGATATTGATTTATTACCATATCGTGACAAACCAGAGTGGCTCACAAGCAATTGATTTTGTTATGAGTGTGTCTAATTTATAGGATAACTCCGCGCATTGGCAGATAGTTGCATTAGCAAATTTCATGCTAATTAAATTTGTGATCGATTGACACCAGTTGCCCCCAAATCTGTGAGCGTACCTTGGGAGAGATTCACTCTTTGAACTCTTGATCAAGAACCGTAATAATCATTTTTATTATTACTTATGTAACTTTATATAAGTATATTAGTTTGTAGTTCCTACAGTTATGAATAGAGTTGTAGCTATTTTATGTCATGGTTTTTAAACCAGTTTTCTTGTCAAACTGATATCCATTTGCACTCGAATAAACGTTGAAATGAAATGAAAAGAATCACTCTGGGTGCACAGTACAATGCATATTTTAAGAACGAAAAATGTCATCTTATCCGAAAAAGGAAGAGTGACTTTTAACGCGGGGTTTCCACTTTGTCTAAAAGTATTGGACACGATCGATCAAATTTAAAGGAGCGGATCAGTGTCTCGCTTCTTGCGGGTTTTCTTCGTTTCTTGCACTGCGAAGCAAGAAACGCCAATTTTTGGACAATACACTAATCATAAGTTACACAATAAGTGGATAAGTAAGAAACTATGCTAGGATAATAACCCTTGGAAAATATTTGTCACTAAATTTTTACCATCGCGGTAATAATTTCTACTAGAAAGCAACCGATTGGAGTAAAATCTCACAATTCGAAATTGGTAACGATACAATTCGCAATGTATGCAAATGACTCTGCATAATTGCGTATATTTACACTGAACACTAATATTTTTCATGTACACTCTTAGAAACTGGGTATTGATTTTCAAAAAATATTAATACCAGTGCAGTGGTATCAATCATAACTCAGAATGTGGTATTAAAATTTTTGGGAAAATCAATACCCCATGTTTGTACATGGACAGTATTAACTTGTAATACTGTGGTGGTGAAACATCAATACCGCTTGGTACCGATTTTATACCACTCTTGCCCAGTCTCAACTCTGTTTGGTATAAACAGGGTCGCGGGATTTGCAAACTATTTGCTTGTAGTTTGCAGATCGTTCATCTTTTGACAAGTCCTTCCAAATTAGTTGGATTAATTATAATTGATTAACTTTTTGAGGTGAGGAAGAAATAAATAATTGATTCCGATGGCAATTTTAACACTCCCATATTAACCGTAAGCCTAAATGTATTACTTTCCGTGTTTGGCTTCCGGTTTATAAATTAATATGTTTTCTTCTTTACAGTGAGATAAGTTCCACGCCTCTAAATTAGTTATGATGGATAATTGCTTGAGAGAACGGAGACTGTGAACTTCCTTATCAGCCTTAAGTGTATTTTTCCTTGATTATGTCTCATGGCCAGTCATATCAAGTAATTATTGGCTTTTTGCATTTATAATTCTTAAAAAGTTAACAATGTTACATTTTTAACATTAATTTGAAACGTTTATTTTTAGCGACGTCGCGTGTCGAATTTGTACTAGGTAAGATAATTTTAAATTGTCTAATTTAATTAATATGCAAACAAATCCCACAGTTGTGAATTGTATACTTACACAACTTATGTTTTGAAATTACATGTAGTTCGAGATCCGGTGACCTTAACTCTTCCATATTATTGTGTGAGGAAATTTTATAATTTTGTTATTTGCATTATTTTCTCTTTTTTGTAAATATGTGTGTATGATATAATTTGTTGAGTTGTAATTGGATACAAAATAAATAACGTGAAAATCAATACCAGGCTGTATTAAACCCTTATATTTCTTTACCACATGGTATTATTTGCATCATATGTTATACTGATTGGTATTACGTTTCAATACCGCTACGATAAAAATCAATACCGCTACGAAAAAAAATCAATACCGCAAAGGACAGTTTTATACTGTCACGGTATTATTGCAGAATAATACCAGCCGGTGTCAAATCCATACCAAAACGGTAGAGTCACATATGAATACCGCCTGGTATTATTCTGGTATTGATTTTTCTAAGAGTGTACTGGCTGCATATTTGTCATTGTGAGTTGGGTTATTTTGGTCTGAAAATTCTTGCACATGTTAGAACCAAAATTCCATCAACCTTTTTAATCCTAGGAGAAAAGACCCTCGCCACGTCACTCACTCACATGTCTCAAGGACGTCCATAACTTACGTCCCAGGCGAGTTGGGGTAATGGGTTTTCGAGACAGGCCAACAATTAGCGCCACATGTTAAAAAGGGGCGTAACGCAAAACAAGAGAGGGTGGGGGTGGGAGGGGTAAAAAATCTCATAATTTATGGTATTGGCTTATCATATATTACGTCATCAAAATTTTCGATTTTATCACCCACCCACCCACACCCACCCTGCATACATACTAGGGAATTTTGACATGGGAAAGACAAATAGGAAAAAAACCACCAACTCACTAAAATGACGACGTAATATATTTTCGTCCCCGACGCGTCATAAATAAGTTACACATACATATGTATGGTTAACTATATGTATACATACATACCCATGTTTGCCTACTACGAGAGGGATGTAACCCCATGTCATGATTTCACCTCTTATTTGCCCATGACTTTATGTATTTGGATGAAATACTGAATTTTATTTAGTCCAGTTTTCTCCACCAGCCAGTAACCTTGTGTCCAGTTATTCGAATAAAATAAGTGAGCAAGACTTTCACATAGTCTAACAGAAAGTTATCCCCTTAATAAATACATAATTATCTAAATAAGCTAAAGTGATATTTTTAAAATTTACACATTTAAAATGCCACTTCCAAAGGCTTATAACTCTTGCTATTTCTGCAACAAAACCTGGCCAAGAAAAACCCCGTCCATAATTCGATTAAGTAACCATATGCGACTCCACACTATAGAAAATCCGTTCAAGTGCTCATTTTCTTGTAAGAAATCGTTTAAAACTTACACAAAACTCGTAGCCCACCGATCTCGGCATGAAAAAAAGGGTCAAAAACCCTGGAAATGTACCCAGTGTGACGCTTCTTTTAAAAGCAAGAGCATCTTAAGGAGTCACGTGATAGACGTGCACACAACGGAGAGACCCTTCAAGTGCACCCTGTGTCCCTCCTCGTACAAGAGGACATCCCAGTTAAAGCTTCACCTCAAGGATCACGACCCCTTTAATCGATACCCTTGTCCAAAGTGTAGCCTCATTTTGAAAACCAGAAGAAATTTAACCCTTCACGTGGAAAAAGTTCATGGTGGGCGGAATTCCAAGTGTTACTTTTGCAAGAAAAATTTCACTCGAGTTGGACTAATTGATCACATCAGGATTCACACGGAGGAAGCTGTTTTCCAGTGTCGCACGTGCCCCCGGACATGTCTTCATTATTCCAGCAGAGTGCAGCATGAAGGGAAGGAACATGGCGAGAAGGTCATACACGATCGGGAATCGTTTACGTGCCCGGACTGCGGGAAGGTGTACGCAAAAAAACAAAGTCTGAAGTACCATCTTGGAAAGGCACATGGGGTGAGTACATATATTCACAAAAATCTTATATATCAACCCATTAAACTGGAGGGAAGATAATAGTCGTTTTATGAGAAATGGTTTTATTCGGGAGTAAGACAAAAAAAAATGGTCCTAAGAAATGGCCCGGAAGGAAGACAATTGTCGTTTCTAGGTCGTTGATTTTCTCTGTTTTTTCTCCGCGCCTAAAAATTTGTTGCAATTTTGAGGGATTTCTCCTATGCCAACCTAATGTTAAATTTTAACATGTTCTTGCCGAAAAATAGGATATTTCCCAATATAAGGCAATGTTAAATTTTGAATTGGTCAGTTTTTTCGAGTTTTGTGAAAACTGGTAAATTCTTTCTCCCGCACCATGACACCAACATACCTATATCGTGACCGAGTTAATGAAATTTCTTCTAGTGAAGCAGCTTCTAGCGTCTCAAAGGGTTATGCCCCAGCTACACTACTGTCGTAATTTTTTTCGGAGTTAACTCTAGAGTTTAACGCTGAAATCGAAACTCGAGCTACATTGCGTTTTGTGTCGTTGTAACTTTCAGTGTACCAAAACTAAGAGTTATTTCTCAGCGGTGGGACTTTTAAAAATTAACCATCTAAAAATTAATTTTTGTATGATAAACAATTGACCCCAATTTTTGATATGGACTTAAAAATAATTAGCACGTCAATTTTTCACACTGGTAATTTTATAAAACAGTCAGAACGTGTATTATCACCATTTTTATGTAATCACATTAAGACACGCTGAAGAAGAGGAGGAATTCTTCCTAGTGAGCAAAAGAATTATTTGTAACCGTTTGTTTTTGCAAATTCAGTGAGGAACAAGAATTAATTTTTATGAAAATAAAGAAATTCTCCCCAATAAATTAAAAATCCCGCTCAAAATTTCAAAGTTTTACTCTGAATGACCTGAGCAATGTAACTGGAGTTCGTAGTAAAACGCTGAACTCTAGAGTTTTACTAGTGAAATTTTACTAGTAAAACTCTAGAGTTAACTCTGAACTGGTTGCAAGTTACCCATGTAGCTGACCTTATGCATTTTCCCATATTACCAGTAAACTCTAGAATATTACGACGGTAGTGTAGCTGGGGCATTAAACCGAAAGAATATTCTATTTTTTAAATTTTAACCAAATATTTTCCAGAAAACGGACCTTCTCGCCCCCTGCTATCGTGGGAAGGAGTGCCCACTCTGCCAGCGAATGTGCAAAGATACCCACGCCCTGTCCGTCCATATGAGAATCCACACCGGAGAAAAGCCCTACACTTGCCCAAGAGCCGATTGTGGAAAACAATTCTCCACCTCGAGTAGTCTTATGTCACATGCAAAATACCACATTAATAATCCAGGTGGGCAGCACAAGTGTAGATTTTGTCCTAAAACCTTCCAAACCGCGAGCAGAGCCACGTGCCACGAGAGGAATTTGCATATCGAGACTTGGCGAAGACCAAAAAAGTGTCCATCTTGCCCCAAAGTTTATCCCAGCTTTTCCGCCCTCGCCCGGCATCAGCTCATCCATTTGAAAGAACCTCCCTTCAAGTGTTCCCAGTGTACGAAGGGATTCTTCTATCAGACAGATTATTCCAGACACATGAAAAATGTCCATAAACTGGAGAAAATTATGATAGAAGTAAAAAAACAGAGAAAGTCCATGTTCGAGTGTAAAATTTGTTCAAAAACGTATCCCAACTTTGGAACGTTCGTCAACCATCAAGACCTGCATCAAGATCCGACCCACCCATGTGCCAATTGTCCACGGAAATTCCACACGGTTCACTCCCTCAGAAAGCACAACCGAACGGAACATGCCGGTCCGAGGTACAAATGTTACTTTTGTGTCAAATTTCCCCAGTACTTTGACGCCCACGCGAAATTTCGGGATCATATGATACGCCACACTCAAGAGCAGGAATTCTTTGAGTGTAACAAATGTAATAAATCGTTCAAAAGATTTCCATACTTGAACCATCATATGGAGATTTGTGGTCGTAAGTTTGACACGAAATCGGAATTATTTCCGTGTGATAAATGCCCTGAAAAGGTTTTTTACTCGAAACACCAACTGTACAGCCATACCTACAAGGTTCATACGGTGAGACGTTATTACACTTTGGGTTCTTAACATTTAGTAACAACTCACTATGGGGATACTATTTACTATGTACATATATTTAAATGTATACTATTTGGCTGGAGACTGCAGGGTTGCCACCTATACTACAGGATGTACAACTATGCGATTTCTGAAGGAATTCTCGTGTAAAATTCACTTTTCGTTAATATGTGTAATATGTTAATATGTGAGCGTTGAAGCCAGGATTTTTTATGACATTAGTCCCCCGTGTCCACTAACGCCTCCCCTTCGCTGTGGGCGGGCTACAAATATCGTCACAGATTGGCAAAAAGTGAACTTTGCACAGAAATTTCTTCAGTTTACACCAAAAGTCATATATTGTACATCCTCTTGTATAGATGGGAACCCTGGACCCTCTAGGCAGGTAAATAGTACCCCTGGTCAGTCCAAGGTAGGAGAATTACTTAACAAAATATGTATTGTTTGCAAGGAAAATGTGCTGAAATAATTTTTGAACAGTTTGCCTGAGGTGATATAATACTTTAGCGTAATGAGGCATCACAAGTAATTTCACTCAGACCGCTTCAAAATTTCATATTTCGTCGTGAAATTCTCCTATCTTGCACCAGGTGGTTGCATAATGACTGAAATAATTATTCTTCAAATAATGTATTATACCATATTTAGAAAACCTGGAGACGAAAGACGTGTCCCTTCTCTGCCTTGGTTTTACGAGATTCTTACTCTTTAGCCATTCATTTGAGAACCCATGTTGGAGAAAAACCCCACACCTGTGACATTTGTGGCATGCGATTTACCCAGAAAGGGACCCTTGTCGAACACCTACGTCGACACGAAGACCGCAAAAAAGGGATCAAATTCCCGTGTAAGGTTTGCCACAAGCCTTACATATCAAGAGCTTCGTTGGCAGTCATGTTCGAAGATTTCATTCGGGCAAAGGAAAAAATTGGAAGTGTTATTTTTGTCACGAGTCCCTCACTCGCAAGGAATCCTTGAACTATCACATGAGAGTGAAACATACTTTGGAGAAAGTCGTTCCATGCGAGGAGTGTCCCACCAAACGCTTTCTTTCAATAACGAGACTGAATTATCATCGTCTCAAGGAGCATGCACGTTTAGTAAGGCTACCCAAAATACAAGCAAAGATAGCGTCATATTCATTCCAAAATGAGTAAAGTGCAATTAATCGATCGTTATTGTCCATCCGGTTTCTAATGACGGAATTTTAAATTCAAATCTTCACCGCCTTGTGAGAAAAGTCACTCCCTTTTACACAGTGCCGTAATGAGACTGCTGTTTCATTTTTACTCACATTTAGTTACATTTAATTCCGTCAAGCATACATATATAAAATAATACTTAAAAGACAATCGTGAAAAATTCTCAATGGTAAATATGTATTATTAAAATAAAACACGAAGAGCCAGAGCTTGTTTCCGTCGTTTTGATGACTGTGTTGGTGTCTCATGAATTAATTGATTGAGTTTCGTCAGTTAAATTATTTAATTGTTCAATGGGATCGTTTTCATCCTGATCGTCACTAATCTCACTTTGGTCACTGTCGTCATCGCTGTCGCTAACATCTGTTTCTGAGTCAGTGTCATCTACATCTAACGGAATGACAATTTGGAACGGTTCAGGAGGGAGTGTTGGAAATTCATAATGGTCTTCATAATTATTTGCAATTTTTTCAACATGAGCAACATTTTTCTTCCAAACGTCCGGATCATACGCTTCTATGTACTCTTGAGCAAGTTCAATTATATCATTAATTTTTCCTGTTGTGTTGTATTTCGCCACATGCCTTTTAATATGTCCCCAAACAAGCTCGATCGGGTTAAGGTCACATTGATATGGGGGAAGGCGCAGAACTTCATGTCCATGAGTTTTAGCGAGTCTGTCAATGAACAAGTGCTCTGCATTTTTTTTCTCGGGCATCACAAGTTTCTATATTTCTTTTTTTATCATTTTTTGATCAAAGGGAATTTGCTTTTTTTTCAGCCACGATTTCATGACCCCAATTTTGTCACCCGATTTGGGAGCATCCGTCGTAGAATGGTAAGATGCGTTGTCCATAACTATTATTGAATTTAGTGGAATATTGGGAAGTAAGCATTTTCGGAACCAATTGTCGAATCCAAATGAGTCCATTTCGGAGTGATAGTCTTCGTCTTTGGTTGTACTACTTTTTAATAGGAGAGCTCCGGGGACAAATCCGTCTTTTGATCCCGCGTGGAGCATGATTAGCCGTGGTCCTCTTCCGGTTTTTTGAGGAAAACTGTGGTCTAATTTCATTCGCTTGGTCTTCATAATTTTTGGCATCCATCCTTTAACTGCTACGGAGTTGCAGCCAATCCACGACTCATCTAGATAGATGACGGGTCGTGGGTTATCGCTAGTAGAATTTTGATTCAGGCGCTGTATATATTTTTGTCGCCAAAGTCTAATATTAGGCTGCTCAATAAGATGGATCCGTTGGTGCAAATTTATATCACTATTACAGGGTGAGCTACTTCTAACGTTACTACGGTTTATTTGATTGACGGGCTATACATACTTGTAAAAAAGTTTCCTAATTTCGTGATAAACCATAACGATTTGATTCTAATAATTAATCTGATTTCTGTATTGACTATGAAAATAAAAATGGTTCGAATAATATGTTCCTGGTTAGCACTTGGTGCTAATTGTGTGCCTATTTTGGCGGTGCGGCATTCTAAATTACTTATCGAACTTACAAAATTTTTTAAAACTTTTTCAAAATTTACAAACGTTTGGAATATTTCGAAATTTTTTCAACATTTGCAAAATTTTTTCGAAATTTTCAAAAAAAATTTCTAAATTTGCAAAATGTTGTCAAAATTTGAAATTTTTTTTCGAAATTTCAAATTTTTTCAACGTTTGCCAAATTTTCTCGAAATTTTTTCGAAATTTGCCAACTTTTTTCCAAATTTCGAAATGTTTTCAAAATTTCCAATTTTTAATTCAAAATTTGCAAAATTCTTTCGGAATTTGAAAATCTTTTCGAAATTTCGGAATGTTTTCAAAATTTCCAATTTTTAATTCAAAATTTGCAAAATTCTTTCGGAATTTGAAAATCTTTTCGAAATTTCGGAATGTTTTCAAAATTTCCAATTTTTAATTCAAAATTTCCAATTTTTAATTCAAAATTTGCAATTTTATTCGGAATTTCAAATTTTTTTCAAAAGCGCAAAGTTATTTGTCATGAGTTCAAAATTTTTACATGGTTTTAAACAAAATAAACAAATAATTAATATAAATTTAAACAGGATGACGATTTCAGTAGCATCTATGCATATATATAAATAATAATATATGATTTATTGCATCATATTTAGCAAACAGCCTTTGCACATGGCTACATGATATTGATAATTGTAAAAATCAGATCCAAAAATCATTCGCCAGAAACTTTGTAATTGAACGATTTCGTCATGCTATCCATTCATCTGTTCATTCATGTACTTATTAAATATCAACCATGCCTTAAGAGAATTATACCCTAAACTTATTAAACAATTCAAGGTTCAAAGTCTTTTAAATAATTTACTCGTCCAAAATTAACATTACAATTGGCAGTTATTTAACAAATATTTATTTAAAAGTCAAAATCACGAAATTATTGGCAATCGATAAAAATGACCTTTCTTGTGTAAATTTCCCCTTATTAATTCCGATATATTTAATAGATTCGCACAGGTGTACGGATAATGAAAAGTGAGATATTTATATAAGTCGGACTGAACTTAAATCCTCAATTATTCTAAATTTCGTATTTACAACAGTCATCCAAACTTTGAAGGATTTTTTTCGAAATATTTTGAAATGTCGTCCCACTTCTTGTCCATTACACTGCTCGCGATTTTAACAATTAATCGGGCCAACGTAAGTTTAAGATCCTTCCAATAAATTTGTGTCATCAATAATTCAAAGTAAACACTTAAATTATAAGGCGTGGTACTGTATCGGAGGACGATTGTACTGCTACAATTGGGAAATCCAGTACGGGCGCTGTCCAGCCTGGTGGCAATATCCATGTTGTAAGATTCAAATTATTAAAAAATTCTATATACTAAATTTTAAAATGACCGCTGAATAATGGGGATATGAGAACATTGTCCTATCAATTTAATTATCATTTAAGGCTTATAAGTATGTCTAGAAAAAAATAAATTGTGTACATATTTAGATCAAGCTCCAACACCTGCGCCTACACGAGCACCAATCTATTACCCACCGCCCCCACCTACCATAACCGTACCATACCCTACCACACCCCCTACCACACCTCCCCCTACAACTACAACAATGCCGCCGACAACAGCACAACCCACTACAGATTTTTTAACCACTAACCATTCCGAAACATGTCCCGTTTTTGAATGCTGTCACTTTAACTGCAGGCCTGGCGCGGGTTGCACCCAGTCCAGCACGCCGACAGCCTGGCCCACGTGCTCTGATGGGCTGAAGCCTACAATGTGTGCAAGCTTGTTCAACCCATTCTCAACCTACTGCCTTGATCAGGGATGTGACGAGATGAGTTGTCATGAAACAATGTGCATGGGGGTGGTAAGTGAGAGACTATGTGCAGCCCTGATGTAACATAAAATCTCCAGAGTTATAAATTATTAGCTCACCCTGCGTAGCAGAGGAGCTATTGAATTCCTCTTGTCCGTCTGTCCGTCCGTCCGTCCGTCCGTCTGTCTGTTAAAGACTCTTTTGCATCAATTGATGCTAATTAAAGCGAGTTATTGACATTCATGACCGACTTACCAGGTATACTATTAGCATGGGTGGAGAGTCCAGGGTACCCACTATGTTTTTTAGAATCTACTAGGACCCTAGATGAAGGATCCATTCATATTTCCGTGTAAAACTCATATTTGACGCCATGGCGTGGCGCCAAACTTCAAAATATGCGTTTTCGACCAATTTCAAACCTCTATAACTTTTGCAATATCCGTGGGATTTTCAAAATTTTATGCTTAAAATGATCACAAAGGTCAAAATTTTACGAAAAAAATGAAACATTAAAAAATTTCATTTTCCGAGATATTTTGACGATCTTGTCGACGAATCCAATGCCTAAAAAAATCTCAAAATTTTCGAAAAAATTGAAACAATTAATTTTTTCAAAAATTTCATAGAATTCGAAAGTTCGACTCATGGCCATGATTTTGGCCAAAAATTTTGAAAATCCCTCCAGGATTTCAAAATTTAAGGCAGTTTTAAAATTAAAAACATTCAAATTTGGCGAATGTGGCGCCACGCCACGGCGTCAAATATGAGTTTTACACGGAAATATGAATGGATTCTTCATCTAGGGTCCTAGTAGATTCCTAAAAACATAGTGGGTACCCTGGACTCTCCACCCATGCTAATAGTGTCCCATGTTAGTAGCACGACTGGTATCGAACAATCGGTGACTCAAAATGGTGCGAAACAATTGAGTTAATATATGTTAACCGTACCAAGAGTGCAGAACAACCGGAAGAAACACCTATAATTTTGGCGTACAATTTTTGAAGACTTTTATGTCAAAATTATGGATTATTTTTAATCGTTTAGTTTCCACCATTGGTGCAAAATTATATCAGAAATATGTATGTATTTTGTCCGCTTATTCTGCACCATTAGTGGAAAATTATACCAAAATTGTGTATCTATTTTATCCGATTGTTCTGTACCGTTGGTGCAAATTTATATCACTATTACAGGGTGAGCTACTTCTAACGTTACTACGGTTTATTTGATTGACGGGCTATACATACTTGTAAAAAAGTTTCCTAATTTCGTGATAAACCATAACGATTTGATTCTAATAATTAATCTGATTTCTGTATTGACTATGAAAATAAAAATGGTTCGAATAATATGTTCCTGGTTAGCACTTGGTGCTAATTGTGTGCCTACTTTTTAATCTTGACAAGACTAATTACTTTGACGGGTAAGGTTAGGTTGACAGAAGTAAAGTTCGTGACGCCAGCTTGTGCCAGTGAGTTTTTTTTATTTAAGGGTGAAAACAATGTACAAAAATTCTAAGCCCTTGCAATTATACATTTATCATAATATAGCGAAACTATCCAATACGACATGATCTGATGACCCTTTTAAAATTATGTCGTCCTCCAGATATTTAATGAATTATTAATGTTTGGGTTGATTAGTTTTACGCGTTAATTTTTTGTTTAAGAGCTAAATACATAAGTACTTGACGAGGAAAATATACATATTTATGACACGAATGTAAACGTAAAGTCAAGCCCACTTTAAGGAATGTCCATAAATTATGTCACACAAAATTGTTTTAAGCCCCGACTCCACTCGCCTCTTTAATATATCACACAAGTTCGATATCATTAGGAGCATATGTACATAAGACTCTCCTGTAGAGTGACATAATTTCTGGCCCACCCCGTAGGTAGAAGCCCACTTTATGCGTTACGAATAACATGCATGTATGTACATATGATCTTGATTAACATAGGTGGTAAATTGTTAGAATTTCATATAATTGTATAATTTTTTTTATAAAAACGCAATTGCAAATTACGAACCGTGTTCAGCCAGTTGGTTGTCCGCCACACCTGAAATCTGGTCGTGTTTGGTTGCTACAGTTTTTTTCACCAAATTAATAATTATAAATTGAAGTATGCTTACAGAATTTCTAGCGTATAAATTAAGCACTGACAAATTATATGTATGTACAAGAAAGATATCACCATGACGTCAAGATACATTAATATTTATTAAGGGGTGAAAACCCCTTTATGGGAATGTCTTGTCTGTCTGTCTGTCTGTCTGTCCGTCTGTCCGTATCCACGATAACTTTAGAACGGATGCGAATATCGAGATGCGGTTTTCGCCAAAGTATTTCTAATTTTTGAAGTATGGATGAGTTCGAAGATGGGCAATGTAGGTATTAAGGTCACGGCGCCATGGCGACGACGCCGTGTCGAATAGGTGTCGAATTTTTTGTTTCGACGGTTTTAGACGTATTTTGGGACGGGGATTTCGAAAATCGACATGGTTTTGACGTACGGTGACCGTGTGACCGTGTCGACGACGCCACATGTCGAAAATAAATGTCGAAATTTTTTGTGTTGACCATTTTAGACGTATTTTGGGGCGGGGATTTCAAAAATCGACATCATTTTGACGTACGATGACCGTGTGACCGTGTAGACGACGCCATGTCGACAAACAGAATTAAGTCATGTGAGGTGTCTATCGAAAGGCATAGTCGTGTACGTTCAAAGTACGCGGGAGTTATGTCGACACGGGGCGAAATGAGACGTGGGGTAATGTGAGACAATTGGGGAAATTTTGAAAACATTCCGAAATTTCGAAAAGATTTTCAAATTCCGAAAGAATTTTGCAAATTTTGAATTAAAAATTGGAAATTTTGAAAACATTTCGAAATTTGGAAAAAAGTTGGCAAATTTCGAAAAAATTTCGAGAAAATTTGGCAAACGTTGAAAAAATTTGAAATTTCGAAAAAAAATTTCAAATTTTGACAACATTTTGCAAATTTAGAAATTTTTTTTGAAAATTTCGAAAAAATTTTGCAAATGTTGAAAAAATTTCGAAATATTCCAAACGTTTGTAAATTTTGAAAAAGTTTTAAAAAATTTTGTAAGTTCGATAAGTAATTTAGAATGCCGCACCGCCAAAATAGGCACACAATTAGCACCAAGTGCTAACCAGGAACATATTATTCGAACCATTTTTATTTTCATAGTCAATACAGAAATCAGATTAATTATTAGAATCAAATCGTTATGGTTTATCACGAAATTAGGAAACTTTTTTACAAGTGTGTATAGCCCGTCAATCAAATAAACCGTAGTAACGTTAGAAGTAGCTCACCCTGTAATAGTGATATAAATTTGCACCAACGGTACAGAACAATCGGATAAAATAGATACACAATTTTGGTATAATTTTCCACTAATGGTGCAGAATAAGCGGACAAAATACATACATATTTCTGATATAATTTTGCACCAATGGTGGAAACTAAACGATTAAAAATAATCCATAATTTTGACATAAAAGTCTTCAAAAATTGTACGCCAAAATTATAGGTGTTTCTTCCGGTTGTTCTGCACTCTTGGTACGGTTAACATATATTAACTCAATTGTTTCGCACCATTTTGAGTCACCGATTGTTCGATACCAGTCGTGCTACTAACATGGGACACTATTAGCATGGGTGGAGAGTCCAGGGTACCCACTATGTTTTTAGGAATCTACTAGGACCCTAGATGAAGAATCCATTCATATTTCCGTGTAAAACTCATATTTGACGCCGTGGCGTGGCGCCACATTCGCCAAATTTGAATGTTTTTAATTTTAAAACTGCCTTAAATTTTGAAATCCTGGAGGGATTTTCAAAATTTTTGGCCAAAATCATGGCCATGAGTCGAACTTTCGAATTCTATGAAATTTTTGAAAAAATTAATTGTTTCAATTTTTTCGAAAATTTTGAGATTTTTTTAGGCATTGGATTCGTCGACAAGATCGTCAAAATATCTCGGAAAATGAAATTTTTTAATGTTTCATTTTTTTCGTAAAATTTTGACCTTTGTGATCATTTTAAGCATAAAATTTTGAAAATCCCACGGATATTGCAAAAGTTATAGAGGTTTGAAATTGGTCGAAAACGCATATTTTGAAGTTTGGCGCCACGCCATGGCGTCAAATATGAGTTTTACACGGAAATATGAATGGATCCTTCATCTAGGGTCCTAGTAGATTCTAAAAAACATAGTGGGTACCCTGGACTCTCCACCCATGCTAATAGTATACCTGGTAAGTCGGTCATGAATGTCAATAACTCGCTTTAATTAGCATCAATTGATGCAAAAGAGTCTTTAACAGACAGACGGACGGACGGACGGACGGACAGACGGACAAGAGGAATTCAATAGCTCCTCTGCTACGCAGGGTGAGCTAATAATTTATAACTCTGGAGATTTTATGTTACATCAGGGCTGCACATAGTCTCTCACTTACCACCCCCATGCACATTGTTTCATGACAACTCATCTCGTCACATCCCTGATCAAGGCAGTAGGTTGAGAATGGGTTGAACAAGCTTGCACACATTGTAGGCTTCAGCCCATCAGAGCACGTGGGCCAGGCTGTCGGCGTGCTGGACTGGGTGCAACCCGCGCCAGGCCTGCAGTTAAAGTGACAGCATTCAAAAACGGGACATGTTTCGGAATGGTTAGTGGTTAAAAAATCTGTAGTGGGTTGTGCTGTTGTCGGCGGCATTGTTGTAGTTGTAGGGGGAGGTGTGGTAGGGGGTGTGGTAGGGTATGGTACGGTTATGGTAGGTGGGGGCGGTGGGTAATAGATTGGTGCTCGTGTAGGCGCAGGTGTTGGAGCTTGATCTAAATATGTACACAATTTATTTTTTTCTAGACATACTTATAAGCCTTAAATGATAATTAAATTGATAGGACAATGTTCTCATATCCCCATTATTCAGCGGTCATTTTAAAATTTAGTATATAGAATTTTTTAATAATTTGAATCTTACAACATGGATATTGCCACCAGGCTGGACAGCGCCCGTACTGGATTTCCCAATTGTAGCAGTACAATCGTCCTCCGATACAGTACCACGCCTTATAATTTAAGTGTTTACTTTGAATTATTGATGACACAAATTTATTGGAAGGATCTTAAACTTACGTTGGCCCGATTAATTGTTAAAATCGCGAGCAGTGTAATGGACAAGAAGTGGGACGACATTTCAAAATATTTCGAAAAAAATCCTTCAAAGTTTGGATGACTGTTGTAAATACGAAATTTAGAATAATTGAGGATTTAAGTTCAGTCCGACTTATATAAATATCTCACTTTTCATTATCCGTACACCTGTGCGAATCTATTAAATATATCGGAATTAATAAGGGGAAATTTACACAAGAAAGGTCATTTTTATCGATTGCCAATAATTTCGTGATTTTGACTTTTAAATAAATATTTGTTAAATAACTGCCAATTGTAATGTTAATTTTGGACGAGTAAATTATTTAAAAGACTTTGAACCTTGAATTGTTTAATAAGTTTAGGGTATAATTCTCTTAAGGCATGGTTGATATTTAATAAGTACATGAATGAACAGATGAATGGATAGCATGACGAAATCGTTCAATTACAAAGTTTCTGGCGAATGATTTTTGGATCTGATTTTTACAATTATCAATATCATGTAGCCATGTGCAAAGGCTGTTTGCTAAATATGATGCAATAAATCATATATTATTATTTATATATATGCATAGATGCTACTGAAATCGTCATCCTGTTTAAATTTATATTAATTATTTGTTTATTTTGTTTAAAACCATGTAAAAATTTTGAACTCATGACAAATAACTTTGCGCTTTTGAAAAAAATTTGAAATTCCGAATAAAATTGCAAATTTTGAATTAAAAATTGGAAATTTTGAAAACATTCCGAAATTTCGAAAAGATTTTCAAATTCCGAAAGAATTTTGCAAATTTTGAATTAAAAATTGGAAATTTTGAAAACATTTCGAAATTTGGAAAAAAGTTGGCAAATTTCGAAAAAATTTCGAGAAAATTTGGCAAACGTTGAAAAAATTTGAAATTTCGAAAAAAAATTTCAAATTTTGACAACATTTTGCAAATTTAGAAATTTTTTTTGAAAATTTCGAAAAAATTTTGCAAATGTTGAAAAAATTTCGAAATATTCCAAACGTTTGTAAATTTTGAAAAAGTTTTAAAAAATTTTGTAAGTTCGATAAGTAATTTAGAATGCCGCACCGCCAAAATTTCAATACCGTAATAAAACCGGTAAAGTGCTCAGTAGTCTGGTTCTGTCAATTTTTTCAAAATTTGCAAACGTTTGTAATATTTCGAAATTTTTTATAAAAGTTGTAAAAAATTTTGGAATTTGTCGATTTTTTTTTCAAAATTTGCAAATTTTTTTCAAACTTTCCAGAATCTTTTCGGAATTTCGAAATTAATCAAAACTGCAAAATTGTTTGTCAAAATTGTTTGTCAAAATTGTTTGTCAAAATTGTTTGTCAAAATTTCGAATTTTTTTCAAAAGTTATAATTTTTTCGAAATTTGACGACATCGGACCGGACCGAACCCCATTTTATCGGTCGGTCCCGGTCGGACCGAATCGGTCCGACCGATGAATATTGTGAAATAAAATTTCGACGTTCCACTTGTAAAAACAAAATTTTATCAACACCGTGATACAAATTGAGGTTCAAGTGCAATATACGTATATTACTGAGGGAAACCTGCGCAATTTTATTGTACATATATAAGCAATATTTCGCTCTCCTCGTCCAACTCCTTACATATTTAAGAGTATACACATATATGTATGTATAACAGTTTAAATTTGTAACTATTTAAATTTGTCTAACTTTTTTTAATTCAAAATTTTTACAAACTTTTTCGAAATATCAAACTTTTTTGAAAATATTAACATCGTTTTCAAATTTTTAAAACATTTTCAAAATTTACAAGCGTTGGTAATAGTTCGAAATTTTTTCCAAATTTCGAATGTTTTCTAAATTTGCCGATTTTTTTGAAATTTACAATTTTTAATTCAAAATTTATAAATTTATTTCGTAATTTTGATATTATACCTTAATAATAATAAATTGATATTAATATTGTATAATAATTTGATAATATAAAAATTTCGTTCAAAACTTATAACTTTTTTCTGAATTTGCAAATTTTTTCGTATTTTTGATATTTTATAAAATTTCTAAATTTTGTCAAACGTACAAAATTATTTATCAAATGACAATGACAAAATCAAATGACAACGAATCAATATACGTGTCACTTGTAGAAGAGCATGGTCATGTGTGGTGAACTTGTTAGACACTTGAATAAAGCATTAATCAATCATTCAATCAAGCAATATTTGTTCACCTTTCCAAGTCCGCAAACACCTGCATGGGCACGGTTTGAGACGATGATAATATTTGCTCACATCGCATAAAGAGGAGTGATAAACTGAGTTGACTTGCAGAAATCGGGTTTATTCTTATCTTAACTATTCGCAGGCATGCTCTTTTCAATCATGTCGATCTCTCCCAATTTTATTTGCGTCATTAGCCACTTAGGATTAGTAGGCTGCAGTAATTTATTTCTTTTCGTAATCTAAATTACTCTCAAACTGTAATGCAAACTGTTCATGTTAAATAATAAAATGAAATGTTAATATAGAACACGTTGTGGTAGGTCTTAAATAGGTACATGAACAATGGTAATCAAAATTTCGACGCCAATCTGTTGAATTATACAACTTTGATAATAATCAATCAACTGACACTTTCTCATGAATCCGGCGTAGTTTACCTCCCTGGAGAAGAAATTGCTGCTAATTTAAAATACTTGATTTGTTTCGGGGCACGTATTGCTCTCCTATTTAAGGAAAATATATTGCCATGCTTGTTCACAGTCTTTACAAGTCTTTAAAAAGTCTTCAAGCAGCTAAATTGCCTGCAAATACAGATAATTTTAACATTATACCCGCCACGGGAGGAGATTGAGAATGAATACTATTTTCAATCTAACTTTCAGCCTGGGGGTCCTGATCACACTACTAGCCCAAGGTTACCTAACGAGTTAATTAATTTTAATCCAATCGACTAAATATTTCTTACCTTGCAGGAAATATTACTTATAAAAGTTCCGTTATAATTAAGCATGTAGGACTGCAAATTATTAAATTTATTTTAGCAGAAATTTTGTACTAGGGATACCCATGGTAAGTATTCCGCCCTCGGGTTTTACTGGGTTTCATCTAGTGGCAAACCAGTAAAACCCGTGGGGTTTTAGTACGTACTTGGGGTTGAAGCGGGTTTAAGTTTACCTCAGATTTAATGAAATAAGTCAAGTAAAACAATTTCTGGCGATGCATTTCGTTAATGTTCCCACGATTTCACGATTATATGCAACTTTTGCGTTTTATTATTTTGTCCCAACCCAATGAGCAAAACCCAGTAAAACCCAGAAATATTCTATGAAATACCGCTACAATATCTGAAAAAATCCATACATTTTAGAACATGCCTGTATAATGATTTTTCTGTATTATTGAGCACGCAGAGTTACTCAATTTTCTAGGTAAATGGAGAAATTGTTTGTAGCCGTGATATCAGAAAATCAGGGATGAACACTTTTAGCCAATTAAAAGGTCCACACGCTTCTTTACTAAAATAATTCAATGCTCTGCTTTAATGAATATATAGTTTTACATTTTTAATGGGTTTGTTAAACACGGTCAGAAATGAACGTACGTATCATGAGATAGTTAGTGTTAGGAAATCTTAAGTTCAAAAAAATATTAAGTAATTGTATGGAAATGACGTCAAGATTTGGAGGTAGATATCGAAATCCGTAGAGAGTTTTCAATTTCATCAAGTTTGGATTTCTCCTAGTCTGAATTACACATAATTATTAGATACCAATCAAAAATTTATTTTCCACTCATATTAATCAGAGCATCGATCCTAGGCCAGAAATTTAAATCTCGTCTGACATTCTTTCTCACTTGCTCCGCTTTGGCAAACCCATCCTTGCTCGCATACTCTCCTTGCTTGCACCAGACGTACACCACCCTCTGCACACTGCGGCTGCCTTATGGTAGGAAATATCAGAAATTTTGTTATGACTTTTTTGACCTATTTGTGCGTATTAGCTAGTTTAGGACTTATAATATGCATTATTTGATTTTAGTGTGACCACGCCCACTGGGGGAGGAGTTTTGTAGTTAAATTTTGTTACTGTCAACATTGATTAACAATTTATTTACGTCCAAAACTAAATGCTGTTAACTACAAAGCAGTATAAATTACATATTTTCTAACTTTAAAATAAAATCAATATTTTTTAGTGTGCAGATTTAGGCTACACTTAGAGCCACAATTATCCGACCGGGTATTTATGTGAATTATAAAAAGTGGCCAACGAGATTTACATTTTTGGCCTAGGATCCCTGTTCTGATTAATATTTGAAAAAAATCCAACGTAATTGTAAGATCTACTGCAACCCAAATCAATTCAAACCGAATTTTTTAGGCTGTCAGGCTGAAATTTGTGCCGGTACCGGGGTCCACATGGAGTGCCCCACCTTCAACCAGTGTCCCAGTGGGTGGAAGAAATCCTTCTATGACACTGGATTTGGCGACTTCAAAGGATGCACCTGCACTCGACGGTTGACAGATGAGGAATACAAAAATCGTACCGAGTGCCTCTGCAACTATTATATCAGTGGGTGCACCCGTCAACCATGCTTTACCTCCGGATGCGATTACGATTGCAGACAAGCGATGGACGAATGCCCACAAGACGTCAAGAACGATTTGTGCAGCGGCAATAGAACTGATTACAAAAGGTGGGAGAAATTTTGTCCTGAACCAACTCCCATTGACCCACAATTAAGCGTACAAGAACTTTTAGATCGTATATGCACATCTTCGGCAGAAGACTTTTGTTACGATTTTGGGACACTACTAATTGTGGAAATCGGCGGAACCAAACTACTCGGCCGAAGTTGCGAGGAAGACTACGACATTCTATGTCGTCAAACTTCAACAACTACCAGAATGCCCATTTTGAATTGATTTATGTCGCTGATCTATATATGCACTTACTTATATGAATTTAGACTTTACAAAAACATTGCTCCTTTCTCTCCTTTCTCTCATTGTAATAACAATTCGATTTTAATCAAATAAAACACACGAAGCATACATTATCTGGTGATGATCTGTATTTATTTGGCATGGAATTTCAATTCGTTCGATGAAACACTGCACGACACTAGGTTGAACGTAAGTTCAGAAAATTCATCTTGTTCAGTTATCAATTAGACGTCAATTAAAGAAGGTAGTAGAGTAATGGCTTCGGTGGGATGTAAACTGACGAAACATGTCATGTATTTAGCTTATTTGTATGTGTAATACTAACATGGAGACACCTCCTTCTTTAGCGTTAGTCATTTGTACCTGCGTCTCTTGTTCATTTCATACGTATAACTCATCATCAGTATAATAAAACTTCAATTCAATTCAAATGCACGAAAAACGCAAGGTATGCATGTCAAGATGTATATATATATATATATATATATATGAAAACCCTAAAACACGTAAAATCTGTAAAACTGTGTTTGAATTTGTGAGATCGAGCTTACGAGGGAACCTCGTGGGGTGCCCGGAGCTCACAGCATAACCACTATATACATTCGACGTAGTTTTTAATACTAGTCCTATGATGTGACAAAATTTACGTGTTAGAATGACATTTGGTCACCCTGTGATCATTTTAGTGGCGCGCGGAACGGTCATTTCGCCCATGTTTTTAATAGGCGAGGAGCACGTCTCGTAACACGCTTCTCGTTCCTCTCGCTTGTGAATCTCCAACAATTAATTTAAATAACAAGTTTCTACAAAAAAATTCACACAACAATTTTTTAAGTTGCTCTACCCGATTTTGAAAACAAATTTGAATTTTATTTACCCGCCTTTGAGCAGGGCTGTCTCAAACCTTTGCACAGATAAATGGGACACCCTGTACAGTAAGAACAAAATTAAATCTTACCATTACATAGGTATGTGTGAACTGTATATGTACCTTCGCACTTAGGAGGACACGACGCCGACTGGGCAATCGCAGATATTGATGCGCCTTGGCTATGTTGGAGTACTAGGTGAGTGTACGAAAAGTGAAGGAGGGTTTTATTCCATGGCTACATTTGCGCCACACCCCTTCTAAGGAGCGCCCCATGCTAAAGTAGCCTCACTAAAACCTTCCCCAAAAATCCAATTTTGCTCGGATTTTCAAAACAATTACATATTCTTGATCCCAGATAGTTGTTTTATCACATCCAATAAAAAATCAAAACCAAAATCAACTTTTAGAAATTTTTAACTATTTTCCAAAATTTCCTGATTTTGGAAAAAATTACAATTTCAAAAAAGTCGATTTTGCTATTGGATGTGATCTGATAAAGCAACTATCTGGGATCATAGATATGTAATTGTTTTGAAAATCCGAGCAAATTGGATTTTGAGCGAAGGTTTTAGTGTGTCTAGTTTAGCATTGGGTGCTCCTTCAAAGGGGTGTGGCGGGCGCAAACGGGGCCATGGAATGAAACCCTAATTCACTTTTCGTACACTCATCTGGTAGTCCAACATAACCAAAGCACATCAAAATTTGCGATTTCCCATTCGGCGTCATGTCCTCCTTAGTACTAGATCTTTGAAACTCTGCACACAAATGTATCAACTAATTGGAGAGTACTTCAGCGTAACTATTTTTTAAGGTCATCCATAGTTATGTATGCATGAAGGAGAGAATTTTTAAGGCCTTAAAAATAAAGGGTCAAAAAACAAAAGTTCGTGGGTATTGTTTAATTAGATTTCCGAAGAACAATAAGCTCTCGAGTCCCTGTGTCGGATTTTGTTGACGCCTACAGGATTTTTTCGCCCAAAAAAATACTTAAGGTCAAAAATTCAAACAATTCAAATATTCAAAAGCATGCAGACAGCACAAGTGCTTTTCTATATATCAATTCTAGAATGACGCAGCGGTCACCATCATAAATAGAGTACACTGTTCAACTGTGTGTCTGTCTGCTTTTTTGACTCCCTCACTGAGATTTCTATGGCTCGCTCCACCACACGTGAAACTCAAATTTGCCCCATTTGAGGCCAAGTGAGATGGTGCGATATTTGAAATATGCCTATTTACTTTTAGTTGGTTTGCACTGTTCACCCAAGACCAGGAATTCAAAACATAATCGACGGACAAGTGACAAATACATAGGTAGTGTTATTTAAAATAAATTTATTTTTCTCAACGCAGCAATTGTTCCTTTCACCCCCCCCCCCCCCAACTAAGTAAATATTTTATATTTTATGGATAGATTAGTTTTTAGTAAATTCAATTTTAAGAGGTTAAAGTATAATTCAAAATATAATAAATAAGTTTATTTCGACTAAATTTATCTTAACCATCGGTGCTATCTCCTCCAACTAAAACAACCACGATTCCACCCACACAGAAGCAAACAATAATCGTAGAAAGGCAAAGGTGTTAAAAATAAAGCAAACCAACTGCTGCAGGTTCATTTTTTTTATAAATTTTCATGCTCCTATAAAGAAATAAATTTATTTTGACAATATTGTATACAGGAAGTGAGTGAACTGATGAGCAGTTATAAATCACTCATCTTCATCAATATTGATTATTATGATAAGTTATCCGTTGTCATGATAAGTGACCTTGATAACCACTTAATTAACGATATTAATTAATTATTAGTATTCGCAACTCGGCCCATACGGTGTGACATATTAACTCGCACTTATTTTTAACGCTGCACCCAACGCCGTTAATAGTTTTGACCTGTTGCCGCCCAGTCACCTTTTGATGACCGTGGAGGTCAAATATCTCCTGATCGACATGCAGCACATCAATTCGAATGGATTTTTAACGCTTAAGCCACAGGGAGTGTCGAGGTTCACAGGATTTAACTGGGGGCGTGGTTGTCCACGGAAGTAGGAGTTAACGGGGGGCGTGGTTGTCGACGGGTAGTAGGAGTTAACGAGGAGCGTGGTACACAGGAGTTAGCGGGGGACGTCGGAGGTTTACGGGAAGTAGTATTTCTCCGGGATATAGAGATTGACGGAAATAAGAGTTAACCGGGTGTGCATGTGTAGGTTGACAAAGAATAGAGGGTGACGGGAAGTATGAATTAACCGGGGGTGTGGTGATTGACGGGAGATGGTTTCATCAACAATTACTAGATGAAAGATTCGGAGCCCGCAATTTGCGGGCCTAATCACTCGTTAAAAAAATAAAACAACAATTTTGGGCCTTAAATCTTTTTTGGGCGAACAATTTATGCGGGAGTAAAAAAAATCGTAGCGTTAGATAGCTTATTTTTCTTCTGAGACCTTATAGTATCGAGTAAAAAATATTTTAACGAAAAAGAAATATCAACGAAGTTTTGTGTTTTTACCCCTCAGTTTTAAAATTTTTTAAAATTCTGTCCTTTGACCGGTAAGTGACCTTGATAATTGGCGACACGGAATTATTCGTCAATTGTTTGATACCATTGAGTTAAGAGTTTCAAGTACACAGGGTCATACGGCGATCATAAATATGCAAATATACGAGTTATTTTTTTACTTACTGTATGTAGTTAAGGCACATATCCCTGTCTCTAAATATTCGCATAAAATCGAAAAAATTATCTACCCTTTTATGGTTGACATTCACGTATTTAATTGTATTATTAGATATGCATATATTTCTACCGATGTCGGAACGAGCGTGTCAATTTTTTAACAAAACTATATTTTATGTTTTTTTTTTAGAAAATGAATGCACTCCATCTGATCCTGGCCATAGTTTTCCTCTCCGCAGCAACATGTCTAGAATTTGGTCAGCGTTGTAATCGCAGTCCTGATTTATGCGACCCAACGAAATTCCTCTCCTGCCAAGAAGTTGGCCCAGGCCAGCTAATCTGCCAATGCGAACCTGCTGACGCGTCTGAATCACCCTTCGAACCTGGAATTTGTCTAAAATACGGCGAAGCTCTTGGTGACCCCTGCATTCCTGGGGCGATTCAATGTTCCCGCCTTCCAAATGCGATTTGTAACGAGACAACCAACACTTGTCTATGTGACGCTGACCTTGACTACTTTCAACATGCCGATATATGCCTGCAATACGTAAGAAACTTGTACGACCCCTGCATCCTAGGCACTCAGCAATGTGCACAACTACCAGGCACGTTGTGTCACTCATTTAATAGTACGTGCACCTGCGACACGTCTCATTTTCAGCACCCCGACCAACTTATTTGTGTCCCCTATCGAGACAATCTTCATCAAGAATGCCTTCCTGAGACTCAGCAATGCAAAAACATCCCAGGTGCTGACTGCCACAAGGATTTAAGCACGTGCGAATGTTTACCGCCAAGAGAATACTTTGAACATGAGACGGAGTTGCGTTGCCTGAAGTATGCGGAGGTGCTGTACGAGCCATGTGAACCTTTCACGGAACAATGTTCCTACGTGTTTGGGGCTTTGTGCTCCCCCGCAAATCAACGTGCATATGTGATCCAGGGGATTATTTCCAAAATCCAGATTACCCAAATTGCGCTCAATATTCAAAAGAGCTACACGAGAGCTGCCTTCCATTTACTAGCCAATGCAGGAATATATTCGGTTCCGCATGTCATGACACTCTGGCCACGTGTGAGTGTGAGGAAACAGGGTATGTGGAACATCCCGACATCACGATGTGTGTCCCGTATCGCTATCAGCTCCATGACAACTGTATTCCAGACCTGGACCACTGCAAAAACATCCCAGGTGCTGACTGCCACGAGTCCCTAAATACATGTGAATGTCTTCCAGAAGATACATACTTTGAACCTGACTCCAGCCCGATTTGTTTACGATTTGCTCAGAACTTGTACGACCCATGCGACCCAAGAACAATACAATGCGATAAGATTCCAGGAAGCATTTGCACCGAAACTAATTCCACCTGCATCTGCAACCCAACAACACATTTTCAAAATCCAACAAAACTAGAGTGTGTCCCTTACAAGACTAATTTGCACGATGCATGCATTCCTAATACGCAGCAGTGTAGCAAAATCTTTGGAGCGGTGTGCTCTCTTCTATCGGAAACTTGTGAATGCAACCCACAGGATTTTGTGGAGCACCCAGACCAACCACTATGTCTCCCATATACTGACGTCCTCTACTCCCCCTGTCAACCAGGTAGCGAGCAATGTTCTAAAATACCAGGGTCCATCTGCAACGTCGCCAACTCAACCTGCATCTGCAACTCGGAACACTTCCAAGATCCCAATGCCTTGCGGTGTGTCCCCTACCTAGAAAATCTGCACGATCCCTGCATCCCGAATACCGAACAATGTAAAAATATTTATGGGGCGGAATGCAACACTACGACCTCCAGCTGTGAATGCACTACAGACTTTTTCCTTTGGAATCATGCCTGTTTCCTGATACCTACAAGGCCGTATTTAAACAACACGTGCTTTACCACCGATCACTGCCACCTAGTGGAGGGAAGCGAATGCCGGGAGCTACAGTGCATCTGCAGCAGTGGGTGGCTTCCTGCCGCGGACTTATCGAAATGTTTAAAGCTTCCGGATGACGTTTCTGACTCTCCATGCGAGTCACAGATTCAATGTGACCATCTAGAAAACACATTCTGTGACGGGGTCAAGTGTAGCTGCATCGCCAACTACACTGAGAACCTGGCGAAAGATGGCTGCTTGCAAATTGTTTACAGGTTAAACGAAGACTGCGAAGAAGACACCCAATGTCTTGCAGGAATCGGGAGCGGATCCAGCTGTAGCGGGTCAAAGTGTTCCTGTACCGCAGGGCTGGTTGGAAGTGATGACGCGACCAAATGCTTGCCGGTAAGGCATTATAATCTACATATGTTTCTCGAAGCTTTGCTATGTATGTTAATAATTATACTCCAACTATTACTGATGAGTAACAATAATTTCAAAACCGGAATTTTGAGAGACAAAAAAATGTATTTCGTTAAGATTTGTATGATTTGTAGAGCTGATATTTATTAGTGCTAAACTATAAATATTTTCGTTCTACTCGGACTCTTCCCTGAGTGGGAGGGACCGAAAGTTGCAAAATCAAAAATCTGGGCAGCGGATTTCTCGATAATGGAAAAAGATATCGAAACTTTCAACAAAAGATGCCCATTTTTTCCATACAACCCGAATTTATCTTTTTTTCGAAAACTTAACTACCTCCAAAAAAAATGTTCACCAAAAGTTTAATTTTTACAATTTCTGGATATTGTTGAGTAATTTGTTCTATTGTCACTCTTATACAGCCAAGAAATACCGATGAGGAATGTGAATCCAATTCCCAATGCATTCCAACTATGGGACCGGAAGCACGTTGCATTAATGATCTGTGCAGCTGTCGAGAAGGAGCAACGTTTCTGGTGAACAGGTGCTACGCGCGTATCCCACTGGCTGGCAAGTGCAATTTGACCGAAGAATGTGTCGTGGGAACAAATATATTAGCTTACTGCCAACCAGGTTTGGAAGCATGTACTTGTGTCCCAACGGCGTTCGAAATGGGACAAAGTTGTCACACAAAATTATTCATTGGCGGAAATTGTAGTACTGATTTAGAGTGCCAACTTTCTATTGAAGGACAATCACGCTGCGACATTATTACCACTACATGCCAATGTGTAATTAGAAAACACACATTTTTGGATATCTGCAGCGGAGCGGGAACCTATTTTACAAACATGTTGTTATTTCCAGCTCTTGTATTGACTTCATGGGTTTACATTATCAATTATTAAACCAATTTAAGGATATTTAAGATTTTGTTTATAAGCTTAAGGTACACATGCTTTAATTAATTTAAGATTAGTCCATTTAAATTGCGTCTATCGCAATATTTACATGTATACCCGGAACAAGTCGATTTTGATATGGAAACAAATAAGCGTATCCATATTTTCCAACTTTTATCTGTTAAATAATATAAGTGAAACGATTCCAATTTAAGTAAGTCATTAATTAATTCTGCCTTTCCAAGTGAAGAAATGTATCCGTCTATTTGTAGGTTTTAAGTAAAGGATTTATTACAGATAGATTATATTTTCGTGTAATTACCTATAATATTACATATGTTAACAATTAAATATGTTTAATATTCAATCTTTAACGGTCGAAGTTAACAATGAGTTGAAGAGGATATGTAAATGTATTATTAAAATTTATGTATATGAGAAGGTCTGACGAAAGCTAGAGTCATATGTGCAAGGAAAGTGGACGGAATGTTACGACATTTGTATTATTATTTAATACTTTTTTAGTATTTATTTACAATATTACATAAAAATTTACAATACATTTCATGTGTAAACCAAATACATGTAAGGCTAATATTTCTGCTGCACGCATAAATACATATTTATGTACATTTATGTACATTTAAACAATTAGAAATGGTGAGCGTATAAAATAAACCTGACAAATTACTGATAACAGAATCATATATCACTTTACAGTTAACATGTTGACAGTTGTGTTTTCCAATTGTGACTTACCTAAAGATCGCATACATGATTTGTATGCATCATGATCATGATCGCATACATGATTTGTATGCATCATGATCATGATCGCATACATGATTTGTATGCATCATGATCATGATCGCATACATGATCCATGAGACACCAGGATGATCTATTCATAACTTCAAAAGATTAGAGTGCCAATGAAGCTACTGATTAGGCATCCAGAACACATGGTAAGATTTATTTGCACTAACTTTGGACAATGTTTGTGCAATATGTATAATATTTATCGTGTGCCTCCCGTATGCTTATCTATGCTGCTATGTACCAATTTAATTTATCTTCTGATTACAAGCTGTGCAATTGAGCGTGGTTGTCTCTCAGCAGGCAGCAGTATGTAGGTAGGGAATTTATGCAAAAAATTGTCAATATTCATGAATTTGTTAATCATTATCAGTAATTTTTTAAATATGGCTCGTCAGCCTTATTTTGACGAAATACTTGTCTTGACGTTCATTGCCATGACGTGTTGCCAACACACAGGCCCCGATTTTGGGGAGGGCAAGCGGGGCAATTGCCCGGGGCGCCAGATTTCAGGGGGCGCCGGGAGGCGCCCGCCTTCACACTAGATATAATTGAATTTTCCAGTGTTGAATAAAGTTAAATATTAAAGGTAAACAATAAATATTAAAGCAAAATAAAGTAAATATTAAAGTTAAAGTAATGCATGGCTTATTTAATTTAATCTGATTTTTCCAGTTTCTGTACACATATTAACAATACTTTAAACAGGAATCTGTTAAGTCGGAAAAAAATTTGATTTGAACAACGCTCTCAGGGTGCAATGAGCTAATTTTTCTGAGACCGACCCCAGAATTTTCGCTTTTGTACTTTGCCCCTCTAGCGGAGTTGGAGGAGCTCAAATTTGAAAACTAACCTAGTCTGCGACTTTTGGCACACAGAGGGGTCAATATTTTTTAACGATCTTTGCACCAGAAATTTCCTAATTCTGTTTCCTACAACCGTTTCCAAGCGTTTCTTGAAACTCTCAACACGACCCTCACGACCTGAGACTGAAGGTATGGAAAGGTCAAGTCTCACATAGACCCACAGGTGAGGTACCGTTAGCAAGGTGTTGGTGAGGGAATTCAGACAATCTACATATACTTCATCTTTTGTGTGACCTCTTTCTGAAGTTCCAAAAACAGAAGAATCTTTTGAGTTTTGCCCGACCTTTTGGCCGATCAAACGTTTTGTTTACCTGCGAGGGGCTAAAAATTCGCGAAATCCTGAAATTTTTTGAGAATTAAAAAAACTCGGAAACGGTTTTGTCACTCGATTGTGAGTGACAATAATGAAAACCAAAATCACTTCGCATAGCCACAATTTCGATTCTAGTAAGATTCTCCGTGTTTGTAGAAGTGAGTGGGAGGAGCTCTATCAATCCGTCTGCCATTTGCAGCTTAACGATGTGTAAAAATTTTGTAAAGCGGTTTTCGCTAAAAGTTGTATTTATCAAAAGTTTGCAGTTGTGATGAATGAGTTTTCAAATCCCACGAAGTTTTGCAGAAATCATCAAAACACTACACGAAACATTGCTAACAACGAAACTTCATGGTGGGGGTCGTGCAGCTCCGCTGCAGGTGCCTTTTCCTCACTTTTTCCCAGTGCCCTGGTCAATTTGGTTTTTACCAATCGAAACCCTGATTACAATTACTAATTTGTAATGAAATTAAATTTGTCCAGAAAAAAACAATTCATAATTTGTAAGTGTAATTTATCACTTGAACCAAGTTCCTAAAATACTTGGATTACTTTCCAAATTATAAATTACACTAATTAATGCTATCGGTGATGTACATAAGTAAATGCAATTTTGTAATTTGATTTCTGAATGATCAGGCCAAGTCTAGTAAATCCATAAGCCTGGAATGTATTTTAGATTTTCAAAAATATTTAAATAATGTTGGGATTCACGTCAGCTTGTAAATGTCTTTTGATCGTTTTGTCCGTCCGTCTGTCCGTCCGTCCGTCCGTCCGTCCGGCCGTTTGTCCGTCCGTTCGTCCGTAAGCAGGATATCTCGAGAACGCCTCAACGAAATCAAACGCGGTTTTCGCCATTGTGCTTCTAATTTTTAGTTCTCGGTCGAGTTCGATACCCAGGTCAATCGGACCACCCCCGACAGCGCCAGGGGGTGTGGTCGAAAATCAAATTTAACCTTAATTTTCATATGGGGTGTCATTTTAAAGGAAATTTCGCCACGAATTCAACGACGTCAATATTTTTGACCTTTGACCTCGTCATCGGGGTCATTGGGTCAAAAAACACTTAATTTTCATATGGGGAGTCATTTTAAAGGAAACTTAGGAAAGGAAGGAAACTTAGGAAAGAAAAGGAAATTTAGGAAAGGAAACTGACCACGCTGACGCTACTTTTTTATATTCGTTTGGAGGGTTTATTTTGTTACGAAATATACGAAGCAATATGCATCTATTATCACAAGTTGCACAAACTCGTCGTCAAGGGAAATTTTCATTTCTCCTCTCATCTTCAGTTTATACACATTTCGCCAACACCGAGAAGTTGCGACGATGTGGTCCGAACCAACGATTTTGAGTGACGTGAATAGCCACACTGTATTTTGTTTTTTGACAAATAAACCGTTCCAAACGAAATGTAGCAAAGGGGTGAAGCAACACGGTCACGTGGTCATGGCATGTCAAAATGATATCGATTTTTGAAATTCCCGCCCTAAGCTACGTCCAAAACTACTGAAACAAAAAAATTCGACATTTTCGACATGTGGGGTCGTCTACACTGTCAACGCGCACCGCACGTCGAAATGATGGCGATTTTTGAAATCCACTTCCAATAATACGTCTAGAACGGTTAAGACTCAAACTCGATATCTTTGACCATTGGCGTCCGTGGTGCCATGGCCTTATGACCTACAACGCCCATCTTCGACTCATACGTACTTGAAAAATTAAAAACACATTGGCGAAAATCGAGTGTCCATATTCGAATTTGTTATAAAGTTATCGTAGATACAGACAGACAGACAGTCTGTCTGTCTGCAGCCATACCAGACATTCCCATAAAGGGATTTCGCTTCGCTTCACCCCTTAATAGTACAAGTATTTGTTGATTAATGTATTTTGGACTTTGAAAAGTCTGAAGTGTATTTCCGTTTCGTATTTTGAAAACGTGTGTTTTGGACATCCCTTGAACAACCAAAATCCTGCTCTTGTACTACCCTGAAAATTATGCAGCTGCTAGAGCGTCAAATATGTGGGGTAGAACAGTGTCAATGTCTAGCAATTTATTTTAGGGCCCACAGTATAAGAACTGAATATTAATTACCCGTAGTAGGTCTAGTTAATTTATTTGTTAAGATAATAATAACGGTTGTTTCGCAAATGTGGGAAAGAAGATTTTCCTCGTCTATTAGCCAGAGGAAAAGCATAGCCTGCGAGAGCAGAGGGAGCGAGCGGCTAGGGGCGCCAATTTTTTTTGCCCCGGTAAGATTTTTGGCAAGCTCGGGCCCTGCCAACACAATATGGATAAATTGCGCGGTCTGCTTGCAAATTTGGTGCATACATTAGGTCGAAACTGGTCCTGCGGATACATATATTCAGGGGTCTGCTTTCACCCTAATATACATAATTGTAAACTAAACTATTTATTTTGAATACTTGTTTTATGTATATGTTTATTGATACGCAATTTTAAGTCCTGAATTACAAAAAAATATAATGGCCAATCCCCGCACAAGCACGACATACTTGGACCATATCCCATACATCATAGGATTAAATATATAAATATAATTAGCAGTTACTTTTAAGCTATTTTGAGGACGAGATTGATACCTTCAATTTTCTTAAATAATTCCTAGTTGATCT